TTCGGTTTAAAGTCGAGCCCATTTCATGCGTTACACACGGTGAAACATCTCGCCCACGATGAAGGTCCCTCTTACCCTAAAGCTAAGAGGGCAATTGAGAGCGGATTATATATGGATGATTTTGTAAACTCGGTCGATAGCTTGGAGGAAGCTACCCTAACCACCGCCGAGGTTATAAAGCTCATGAAATCGGGTCAATTCGATCTTGTGAAGTGGACTAGTAATTCGCGTCCGGTTTTAGATACCATCCCACTATCACACCGTCTTTCGGCGATAAAGGAATTCGATGATTCCGATACACACAAGGTGCTCAGTCTGTGTTGGTCACCAGAGTCCGACGTGTTTAGCCTTAAGGTAAATCCGCCCGTAGAGAAATGCACAAAGCGCACAATACTGTCATGCGTTGCTAGATTATGGGATGTCATGGGTTTCGTAGCTCCAGTGGTATTATACGCTAAGCTTTTGATTAAACAACTTTGGTTATTTGAATGCGATTGGGATGATTCGCCGCCTGACAGCATTGTTCGAGCGCTTTAGAGAGGAACTTCCTTCACTAAGAGAAATTAAAATACCGCGTCATATAAACGTCGATAGAAATAGCGTCATAACGGTCGTTGGGTTTGCAGACGCCAGCGAGAAGGCTTACGGGGGCGTTGTATATTTCCACGTTCAGAATAATGGTAGAAATTCGATTAGCCTCATTAGTTCTAAGTCGAGAGTCTCCCCCCGTAAGGTTGTCTCTCTGGCGCGCTTAGAGCTTTGCGCAATATTAGTACTCACCAAGCTTATTACCGCAGTTATCAGCGCATGTAGGGATAGAGTTCACATAGAAAGGATATTTGCCTTTTCCGACTCCACCGTCGCCTTATGCTGGGTTCATTCTTCATCCCACCGTTGGGATACGTTTGTCGCGAACCGAGTGGCCAAGATCCAAGACGAGTTAGAAACGCGGAACTTTTATCACGTGTCCGGTACGGAAAACCCTGCCGATTGTCTATCCCGGGGACTCACCCCGATGCAAATAATGGACCACCCGCTTTGGTTCCACGGACCTTCTTGGGTTCACTTGGATCCCTCACAATGGCCGATAACCGATTTCGAACCTTCGTCAGTGTCACAACCGCCGGAAGAGAAGAGACACGCTCTAGTGGCGAACGTTTCGAGCGAGGTTTCTCCAATTATTGCTTTGGCGAAACGCTTGTCCTCTTGGTCGAGATTATTGCGTAGCGTAATTTACGTTTGTCGATTCGCGAAGCTTTTACCGCGACGTTCGTATGTCTTAGCGTCCGATTACAACTATGCCGAGTCGCTAGTATTACGTGAACTTCAACGCGCACACTTCTCTGAAGAAATTACAAGATTACAATCGAATAGAGCTTGTAGTCGCGCCTTTCAACGCCTTAAGCCATTTTTACAGGATGGGATTGTAAGGATAGGTGGACGCTTGTCCAACTCGCAGTTGAGTTTCGACCAATGGCACCCTATAGTTTTACCGCGTAAAGACCATATCATGAACTTATTAGTCGATTACCATCATAAATTGAACTCGCACGCTGGCCCCGACTTGTTGATGTCGATTTTGCGTCAGAATTATTGGATTCTTTCTGCACGTAGTTTAATACGCAATCGGGTGCACAGATGTATAGCTTGCTTTCGGGCACGCCCCAAGCCGTCATTTCCGGAAATGGCGGAACTTAGATCTTGTAGAGTAATACAATCGGTAAAGCCCTTTACGCACACCGGGTCTGATTTCGCTGGTCCGTTTAAGGTCACGCTCACTCGCGGGCGTGGTATAAGATCCACAAAGGTTTACGTCTGCATTTTCGTATGTCTAACTACTCGAGCGGTGCATATAGAACTCGTTGGTGACCTAAGCACAGCAGGCTCTATGGGTGCATTTAAAAGATTTCTATCCCGTAGAGGCCCTGTAAGTAAATTATATTCGGATAACGGTACGAACTACGTCGGTGCAAAACGTATTCTATCGGAACTACATGAGCTCTTAGCTAGCAAGTATTATAATTCGGAGTTCGCTCACATTCTAGCCGAGAACCGCATTGAGTGGTCTCTGAACGTCCCAGCCGCGAGTCATTTTGGAGGCAATTGGGAGACTAATATTAAGAGTCTAAAGAGTCACTTATACCGAGTAATAGGAGATCAAATTTTGTCCTTCGAAGAGCTAAGTACGGTGCTCGCTCAAATTGAATGCGTAATGAATAGCCGCCCACTTTGTCGTACATTGTCTAGTGACCCCTCGGAACCGCTGGCTCTAACTCTAGCACATTTTTTGAATTTAACGCCTTTAAAGTATTTGCCCGCCGCAGATATGGATGAGAACAGACTTAGCATTTCCGCACGCTACAAATTATTAGACCGGTTAGTGCAATCGTTTTGGAAACGATGGATGGAATACTTGCATACTTTGCAGTCTCGGCAAAAATGGAACACAGCGACTGAGCCTTTAGCTGTAGGAACTGTAGTTGTGCTCACTAAGGAGAATACGCCACCTCTCCACTAGCCATTAGGAATTGTCGAAGAGGTCTTTCCCGGTTCCGACGGAGTAATTAGGATAGCTCGCGTTAAGACCACGGTTGGGTCTTACCTACGTCCTGTTGTCCGTTTGTGCCCCTTGCCTCTTCCATAATTTAAATTAGCTTTCTAGATTAAAATTGTAGTTGAATTTAGGTAATCTTAGCGTTAGTTAGTTATTTGTTAGTTGATCTTAGCTCTAGTTGTTTTAGTTATTTTTTGAAGGAGATCCTTCAAGGGCGGGGGAGATGGTTGCGCGGAAAACCATTCGTATTTGTTTTATTTGACGGTAGGCTGCCAAATCGGTTATCCCTTTCCAAAACGATATCATTCATACCCTCCTATAGACACATCGGGGTGGTGGGGTGGGAGGGGAAAGAAGATGATTCTAGAACATCACGTAATCATCGGAACCGAGGATATAAAGGGCACGCGCGACCGACGCGCGCTCTCTTCCCGCCGCGCTCGTCGTTGAAACCACATCGCTAGTAGAAACCGCTTTAGCCTGGAAGCAGTCGAGCTCCAGGAAGCCCGCCTCACCTCGTGTGAGATATAGTCGCGCACCGCCTCTCTCCGTAGTGTTCCAGAAGTCGCAGTTATAGTGCTCGACCGCATAGAAGAAACATCCCGGTGAGTCAATATCCAATAGTATTTTCCTGCTTGATATAGTTGTTTTAACCCGCTCCAATTTTGTGTTTTCCTAATCAAGCAGGATTCCTTTCATCGATTTGGCAAATAATAGTTCGTTTTTTAGGGAAGAGCGAGTGCATTGTACCGCATATATAAGTGTAGAATCATTTAGTAGATACAGTCCACTTAGATTAATATCTCGCGTAATAGATTTAAGGTTCGACCGGGGAACTAGACTTCGGCAGCCTTAAACACGTGGCTCCACCACCCTGTTTAATATCAGCAATGAATCTGCTTAACGGTAAAATAATAGAACCAATCCGCCAGCGGTCAAACTCCTGCCAAAACTACGTTTTGCAGTCTAATATTATATAATACAATATAAACTATGTATAAAAATACAGTTTTATTGCCACCATGAACAGTTTATACCGATACGACTTAGGGACCTTCAGGAAAAAAGCTTACTCATTTTAAAAGGCACTTGCAATTCCTTGGGGAGTGACCCTTACGAATATGTGCGTGTGTAGTAAAATAGTAGGCGTTAGATATTTATGAATGACAATCAGTTAAAATAATGCATTACCACGCATTCTGAATTTAAAATACGAATGTGTGCGTGCGTAGTAAAATAGTAAGCGTTAGATATTAATCAATGACAATCAGTTAAAATAATGCATTACCACGCACTCTGAATTTAAAATACGAATGTGTGCGTGCGTAGTAAAATAGTAGGCGTTAGATATTTATGAATGACAATCAGTTAAAACAATGCATTGCCACGTACTCTGAATTTAAAATACGAATGTGTGCGTGCGTAGTAAAATAGTAGGCGTTAGATATTTATGAATGACAATCAGTTAAAACAATGCATTACCACGCATTCTGAATTTAAAATATGAATGTGAGCGTGAGTAGTAAAATAGTAGGCGTAAGATATTTATGAATGACAATCAGTTAAAACAATGCATTACCACGCACTCTGAATTTAAAATACGAATGTGTGCGTGCGTAGTAAAATAGTAGGCGTTAGATATTAATCAATGACAATCAGTTACAATAATGCATTACCACGCATTCTGAAATTAAAATATAAACAGGACAGAATGTTTGAGATCAGTTTTCATTAATTTTCCTCACCATTCGCGTATATTGCGAAATAATCATGTATAGTTATTTCTTGTACTTTATTAGTTCGTAAATGTTGACCACTAGACATGGTCCTCTAATGTTGTACGGTGGATTTGCCTTAATCATCACGCTTGGAGACAGAATGTCGATCGCAGTACTTGTCTCCAGTCTGGATATTTTATGTAGGTTTGGGTAAAATATTACGATATATTGATATTTTCTCACAAAATTATCGATATTTTTAAATGCGACATATCGATATTCGATATTTATTTTAGAGTATCGAATTGGTATCAGTTTCGAAGTTTTAAAATGATACATATATTTATTTTATAATTTAATAGACCATGTAATGTACCAAAAAAAAACAATTAAGCGACAAAAACGACTGCAAAAGCATTTATGTGCTTTGTTTTTACTTTTTGTAATATATCGATATTTATCACGCGATTATTAATGATACTGTTAAAATATCGATACTATAAATATCCATATATTTTTTACTTATCCATCCCTAATTTTACGTCTAGCGTAAGCGATATGACCACACCGCCATCTATCGTAAGCCATAAGGTTTGTCTGGCACCTCCCATAATCGCCTCTTACGATGCTCGCGGGTGATAAAGTCAGAAAGGTTCCCTTCTACACCACACGTCAAGCTCCACTCTTTGAAAATCTCAATCTACCCGCTTCTTACTTAATATTCACTTCTACGTCCCCATGTTCTGCGTGTCCATGAATTCGACAACTTTCTTCGCTATAGCTATGTTGTGAACTCTCTTTCTATGCGTGTACAAGGACGCTTTATGCTTGAACGTCTGCTGGCATATGTCACAGGACAGTGGCCTTGCGCCGGAGTGGGTAATCTCGTGCTGTGTCAAAATTTTCTTGTCCTGAAATATAAATTTACTATAGCGAATTCTATTGGTCAGAGTATTTACGAGGAAAAAATTTAAATACCCGCGCGTTGTCCTATGACTAATAATATTTATATGGTATGATAATCTCAGAGTGATAGACAGTGTATAAATTTTTATTTATTTTATTTTTTATTTTAATAAAGACCAGCAAGCTACTAGGATCACCTCTTAGCAAAGTTACCAGTTAGCATAATTGATATAAATATCTTCGATCCACATAATAAAATAAAATGCCATATCATTTTATTTTATGAAGCTAATTCATTTTAACATAGTTAATATATAATATAATTGATTTCCGCAAATTAACGCCTGATTCTATTAATTCTATAGTATCTCTCATGCTACAACTTTCGACTATACTTACTATCAGAGTTAATTTTACCACTTAAATTTACTGACGGAGGCTATACTCACAGCGAATGCTTTGCCGCATTGCTCACAAATGTGGGTCCTCGGCTTCTCTTTCTTCTCCCCGTGTATTCTCATCATGTGCCTTTCTACGCAGGCTTTGGTCGCCATTGGCTGGAGGAAAGACAAAAGTACGTTATTATTAGAAAAAATATCATTATTATGATATAATTGTTTTTTATTATTTTTGGGAGACGAGTTGGCAACCGTGTTGTTTTTTATTGGGTTATGTTTTTATGAGGAAGATACTGCTGCCCGTCACCTGTTTAAATGTCCCCCTGTCACCTTTTACGACACCCACGTGACGATATGGAGTAGTGAATTCTTTTACGCCGTCACAATTCAGCGACGATACTAACTAATGAAGTTAATTTCTACTGAATGTAATTAAAGTTAACAAGTACCTTGTTGCAGATGAGGCATTTGTGCGATGTTTTACCTAGGTGGTGGTAATTAAAGTGGTCCTGCATCGCCTTTTTTGGTCGAGTAGCCTTTGCTGCACATCGAACATTGGAATCTGTAGGGATAATGGATGATGTCAGCTCTGACCACTTGACATGGGCAGTCAAATTTGCGAACAAGTGAAGGATTTTTTTCATTTCATAATTTACATTAATCATTCTTTCAATACTCACTTACTTGTGTTTCTCTTTTATTCAGTTAATTCTAAATATAATACCTATAAATAAGAAAAAAGAGGAAAGGAAATATGATAGCTCAATCGTCCAAGCTGTCAAAAATACTGACATGAGTGTCACCAGTTATGTATATAGCATGTATATATCCTACCTCGTTGGTCTAGAGGTCGTGAGTACGACTGCCAATCATGAGGTCCCGAGTTCGAATCCCCGGTCGGGCCAAAAGCAGTTACTGGATTTTCTTACAAGAAATACTCTTTAGCAACACATCATGTAAAGCCGTTGGTCTTGCGCCTGATCTCCTCTGCGGCCAACTTCAACAAAAACTTCAAAAATATATAGGGATTAACACGCTCAGCGCCAAGCCCTATATTCCAATACCACCCAAATTTGACCTTTCTGAAAAAATTTTTTTTTGACCCAAAACCATCTTGATGTTATAGCGGATACATTTTTTTTCTCCCCCACCCTTCTCCACCCCCTCCCACTAGTGTGTATCTTTTTCGATACACGGGCCTGTGACAATAGTTAACACCCAAAACTCTTTCATGGGCCATGTGTGCAAAAAAGATACACATTAATAATTAAATCTCATATTGTTTTAGATTAGCAATTGGAGCTGAGAAGAAAGAAGAAATAAGAAGAAAGAAGCAAATGAGAAGAGAGTTTAGGAATAGCAACAGTTTTTCTTAAATTTTCTTTTCTTTTGTTTCAGGAATAAGCAATAGAGAGTTAGTAAAGTGAATAACAACCGAGAGACGCGTTAGAATATTGTAAAAATGGATTATAGTAGTGATGATTCAATGGACGATCCCGATTTCTGTCCCAGTACAGAAGATGACGACGATTCAAGTGAATCAGATAGTGGAAATGAAGCTTGGAATCCACCAGCTACATCAAGAAGAATGTCAACATTTTCAGAGGATCAGTTACCTGCACTGCCAAATATACAGAGACGAAAAACTCCACGATCAAGAACAATGCCACCAGATGATATAGCCAACCTTCCAAGTACTTATGGAACTACCTCAGAAGAAATACCAGAGTCTGAATGGGTCAAACAAAAAATAGAAAATATAGAATGGGATATGCCAACTGCAGATAATCCAGAACCGATACCGTACACTGTGCCTTTTTCAGGAATGAAAGATATTTACACGGGCATCTTAGCAACTGCAAACCCTATTGAATACTTTGAACTTTTTCTGACAAGAGATATTGTGGAGCTCATTGTTGAACAAACAAATCTTTTTGCTACACAAAACCTATTATCTAACGACGACGTGGGTCCCAGCTCGAGCTCATTCTTGGTATCCAGTCACTGTCGACGAGATGATCAAATTTTTGGCACTGATTGGTTGGATGGGCTTGGTCAAACTGCCTGCTATAAGACTACTGGAGAATTCATAAGCTTTATGGAATTCCATTGGCAAGGACAGTCATGCCAAGAAATCGATTCGAGCTAATATTGAAATACTTGCATTTTTCGGATAACACTAAAGCAGATACAGAGGACAGGTTGTGCAAAATTAGAGATGTGCTTGATAAATTATTTTTATTGAGAACTATAAGAAAATGTATACCCCAGGCGAAAACATCTGCGTCGACGAATCTCTTATTCCTTGGCGCGGAAGATTGATATTTCGCCAATATATACCTAATAAAGCAGCGAAATATGGTATAAAGGTATTCAAGCTCTGCACTGAAAAGGGTTATACCTGGAACCTGTATGTATATTGTGGAAAATCGAAAGAAAAAGAAGTCGATGTTTCTGAAAAAACGGTTATGAAACAAATTTGCTCAAGGTCTTCTTGACGAAGGAAGAACTATTTTTACTGATAATTATTATACAAGCGTCCCGCTAGCATACAGACGCCGAAAAACCCATCTTGTTGGTATCCTCAGATCCAACCGAAAACATCTACCAAAAGATGTCATTGCAACAAAACTGAAAAGAGCGGAAATTAGCTGTAAGCAAACCAAAGATGGAATTGTAGTCCTGAAATGGCGCGATAAACGGGATGTAAGAATGCTCTCAACGAAAACATCTGGCCTCAAGACAGTGATCACCCAAACTAGAAAAAGGATACCTATAATCAAGCCAGTAATTATCAACGACTACAACAGCGGCAAAACATCGATTGATATTAGTGACCAAATGGCTACATATGGCAGTGCTTTGAGACGTTGTACTAAATGGTATCGTAAGCTGTTCATTGAGGTACTATGGGGAACAAGCCTAGTCAATACCCATTTTCTCTATAACAAATATTCCAACAACAAGAAACTGACAATCACGGAATTTCGAGAGCAAGTTATTACAGGATTACTTGACAGACATTCTCAACCCCGTGTTACAGAATCCGGACCATCAACTTCGACACCAAGAAGAGCCTCATGAAATATGATGCACTGTCTTGTGAAGAATACAGTTGGAGAAAAGACAGTTCGCGGGCGTTGTTCAGAATGCTACAAAAAGTACGGAAGGAAAGGAATTGAAGTAAATGGCAAAATACTACGAGCGTCACAAGTTAACACAAAATGTTCTATTTGTGATGTAATTATTTGCAAAACTTGTTTCAATAATACCCACTAACTATAAGATTACTTTCTCTTCGTAACACCTTTGTTACATTTTGATTTTTTATAATGAAAGTTCTACATTCAAAATAATTTTAGTGTTTTATTTCTTCCTCATACATTTTTCTTCATAATTTCCAAAAAATATTACCAATCCCAACCCCAATACACCAGAAAAATCTCCTAGGCCAGAGCAATATTTTCGTACTATAAAATGTATGAAAACGTGCGCGATAGCGATACATGAGGCTAAAGACTGGAATGGTGTTCTTGTATCGAAAAAGATACACAAGTGTTTGTACAGTGTGTATCGAAAATGATACACATGGCGCTTAGCGTGTTAAATGAACGAGCGTGTACGCAAACACCGCAACACTATTTAGTCCTTCACTCTCTTATAGGCTCCGATGGAACTGTAATCTTATACGACCAAAGTAAGATCAGCCGCAAGACCAACAGCTTTTAACTGCTTTCACGGCTTTTTGCACGGAAATGAAACACCGTGCTTACGACTACTAAGACCAACGAGACATTAACGACTATCAATAATTAAAAAAAAAAACAAATCATACTTAGTTTCCTGCTAGTTTCACCCCAGGATAGTTATTTTCCCAATCACTAGTAAATTAAAGATAAAAATAACTTTCAATAAGTTATAATCTGTAATAAAAAAATCTAACGCCACTAAATACGACCCTAAGCCCGCCACCTACTACATCTATCGACTTCCTGCATGTATTTCCAGGTCATCTCTAATACGCGTTTCCTTAATTCCCTTATTTCTAAGGCAAATGAACAGTGTACTCACAGTTGTGACCTATTTTGAGAGGTCGAGCGCACTTTTGGCTTGCAATGGTTAAAAAAAAACAATAATATCCAAACAACTAAATCCAGGTAAGTGACGACTCTATATTTGGAATAGAAATAAAGTTAGCTAATAATAATTATTTATGACTACTATTCCGACTGTTGGTACGAACTTACTTGAACACGTGGTCAGAAGCGTGCGCCCTGGTGTATTTGAGATGTCCTTGGTAGGTAGAGATATGCGAGAACACTTTCTTACAGTCGCGACACTCGAAACGGCCTTTGGTTTGGTGACGCTTTACATGGTACTTGAGATCGATCACGCGCACCAGTTTCTGGCAGATGGGGCACTCTTTTTGTGGTAGGGGGCCTTCGTGCAATCTATAATTTTTATACTGTTTTAATACTGTATTTTCAAAATTTACAACATCAACCCTGCTGATAAACTTATCATACCAAATATGAATTTTTTTAAAAAATTTGAGATGGACAGTAGGGTCAAAGCTCACGTCTGGTACAGCTATAGCCAATCCGCCTGTGTAAGAATATTACAGACCATAAAACTTGTTATGAAAGATATGAAAGACTCTTAAGATCAGTAAGTTATTTATTTTGCGTATTTATTAAACTAATGCTTTTGAATATTGTGATCTGTTTTAATAATTATTACGTATTGTTGGTTTGCATACTTTGGTTTTATCATGTTATTACGTCACTCACGTAACACTACTGTGTGATTGTGATGGGGACATAATACGGTACGGTCGAACTGTAATTGGCCAACTAAATTTATAGTACAGTGCGCTGTTTATTGCCGATAATGCATCCGCTCTCATACTGTTATTATTTCCGTGGCACAGTGGCTTAGCTATGAGTTATAGCGCTTAAGGGTCGCAGGTTTGAATCCCGCACGGAACAACTATTTGTATGGCCTACAAGTAATTGTTCTGGGTCTGAATGTTTGTCCTTGTGAAATTTGTGTTTGTAAACTGCCCCCACGATACAAGAGAAAATCCTAGTGTGGAGGTAACTTTTAAAAAAACAATTAAGCTCCTGATTTATTTCCGACATACTTTTAACACATTTATGCTTTTTATTGTTTACGACCCAATAAATACATTGTGTAAATGTTCTTCCTAATTTGTCTTCATACTTACTTCTGCCATCGATAAAGCGTAGATAATTTTAGTTGCTAACCTAGTAGTATAAAATAGCTTGATTTAGGGCATACGTATCATTCCCATAACTGACTGTTTAATTAAATTGAATAGTTAACTGTATAGATCAGTTATATTTTAAACCGTTTTCCTGTAACCCTACATATAATATTAAAATAATTAATAATAAGTTAAAGGTTATAAGCATAGAATACTAAGTTATAAGCATAGAATACTATAATACATACATAATAGAACGGGACGTGGGCGGAGCTCGTGTAGCCACTAAAATTTCAACACGAGATTTGTTTTGACGTAATAATCGTTTCCAAATTTCGCATGTAAATTATTTAGAAAATACCAAATTGCGTACTATTTACATAAAAATATGTATTAAAATTTAAACGATTTTTTAATGATGATTTTGAACATTAATCAAAAGTCTAAAATGTGTAAATTTACTCAGTCTGTCAAAACAGCGAATCAGGTTTGTATTAGTGATAATACGACGTAATTGCTTGTATGTGTGCTCCCGGCGACACCGAATCTCGTACAAAATACGTTTGTCAGCGATTCTATTGTGTATTATAGTATTCTATGGTTATAATTTATATTTTGTAGCTTTTTGTTAGGACTCTACATCTCTAAATATAAAGTTCAGTTGCTGTCAGTCTTGATAAAACTCGAAAATATCTCGAACGATTTTGATGAATTTTTACGTGCGTTTGTGTGTCTTGGATGGTTTAGACTCACAATTAGTGACGCTGTCGCCGTGATCCAAAAATCATACGCCCGAAGTTTGCGGATGGCTACATATTAAAAAATCTAATATCCGCATGCGTGACGATGAAGATTAATCGTCCCTACAGTCAGAGAGGTCCACATCTAGCAGTAGTTTTACGGGTGACAAAGAAGAAAAGATGACGATGATGTAAATGAAGTCTTACCTGAGATGCCTGATGAGGGTATACTTATTTGCGAATAGTTTATTACAAAGATCGCACTCCAGACTCGGGGAGTGTCTATTGTGGTATTTCGCCACGTGGGCTTTTCGCGTCTTGCTTGTCCTGAAACATAAATTATGCTTTAAAAATTAACCGAGCAATTTTTTTTTTGGGAGAAGCTGTGAGAAAAGTGGGGGATGGATCAGCTTGTAAATAAAACCAAATAAATATTACGTTGGGTAAACTAAATAATTTATACTCGTAGTCTGTACTAAGTATTTCTTTCTCCTTTATTCTTTGCTTTTTGGTAACCTTTTATATCCATTTCACAATCTATCAAATTGTGACAGTATGTAACATGGAAATATAATAACATCTCTGACTGTGGAAAATAGCACTAAAGCTTGGTATATTGGTTCACAGTGGTGGGCCCCCTAACATTCAGGTGTGGATGGTATCAGGAAATCTGTCTTAATGTGCGATGGTGAAATTTAGCGACAGAATTATATACCCCACGTAGTAAACTCTATAGAAAATACAAATGGATGCAACATGGTGAATTACTTAAAAACACACGACAATTATTACTCGGTTGTCGCCGATTTGGGCCGCACTTCGCTGGATGCGGTCAAGTGAAAGGAACTTGCACTGAGGTGATCCGATCCAATAATATTGGTATTCCTTATGAGGGCGAACTTGCGACTTGTAAAATTTCAAGCGGTGTAGCGGCATAAAATACTAAGCAAGCTAAACTTTTAAAGAGACATATTTAGTAGATATGTGCGTTATCAGTTTTTTATGATAACGGTTACATAGCTGATATGAAGTGTTCAAATCGATATCAAAAAACATTTTTGTATATCAATATGTAACACAATTTGACTACCGTTTCTGCAGTTACAGTAGCCAGCGATCGACTAAAGTTCGAATGTTGAAACTAATTTAAAAAAATCAGCAAGCGCTTATACTAACGCAAAATGACAAACACTACATTAGACTTTATCATGTGACAATAAAGTTTAGTTAAAAATAACAGCTCTAAGTTAGGCGTTTGCATTTATGTTGGCAACGAAACGATTAACGATAAACGCACTCGATATTGGCTTTGTCTCGTTTTCACGACTGGCAGGGTCATCAGTTAGGTAGAGGCGGCGAATATCCAATAGGTTGGTAGTTACAAATATTTACAATGCTTCGTCGAGGAACGAATTAATATTACAAGTATATTAATTCGTATATGTATATGATTTTATGTTATGAGAAGTTACGTTAGCTGTGTTACGTTTGGATTCACTAATTACGGCGTAAATCGAGCATCTAAATGGCAATTCGGCTCAGTCGCAAGCCCCAAAGTTAGGTAACATTCGACTTTGGCCGCGCGGCGATCGGCCGCATGCGACTGGTGAATAAAATCGACCGTGTAAACGATCATTTGCAGGCGATCGCCCGCCGCATGAAGGTGTTTCGCGCACGCACGTGTATTTATTTACTACAGTGATTCTGTGTATATGTATCGTGACAACCATGAATAAAAATAACACCATACAGTTTTTGGAATGCTATGAAATGCATCCATACTTATGGAACCCATGAGAACAAGATTACAGGAACAATAATGTACGTTTAGCGGCTCTTAAATCTATTATTCAAGAAATGCGTTTGTCCATAACAGTTAAAGATCTTAAATTGAAGATAAAAAATATACGAACCACATATAATACAGAGGCCAAAAATCAAAGAAGAGTAGCAAAGTCAAAGAAGAGTGGCGCGGGAGAGGATGATGTATACAGACCTCAATTAATTTGGTTTTCAGTAGCTAACCGCTTTTTAAAGCCAGTGATAGAAGGAAGAAACAGTAAAGATAACATGGTAAGTCTTATTATTATTTATTAAATAGTTATTCTTGTTCGCATGTTATAATAAATTCATATTTAATATATGAATTTATTATAACATGCGAACATAATAAATAAATTTAAATACATATTAAGGTAAATTGTGAACAAGGCCATTTTTATAATTACTTAAATAAACATACAATATTTACGCAATCATTTGCCATGAAACTTTTCCAGGTCCGACAAAATAGTCAGCATATCTATCGCGCAGATCTTTTGGATTTCGTGAATAGTTGTTAGAAGATAGCGGTGTCATTAATTCGTCTACTCCTGCCGTAGGAATGCTTCTGCAACTTACGTTTCTGATTGTCCCTGAACTGAAGTCTTCTTCGTCTACTAATTCGGGAGTATTCATGTATATGCGATTAGTCCGAAGCCAGTTATGCAGCGCACAGGTCGCTTTAATAATAGAATCAGTTTTATCCAAACAGATATAGGTTTTCTGTATACTCTGAATCGTAAAGCCATTATGCCGAAGGCATTCTCTACGATTCGGCGCGCTCATGATAGTCTGTAATAAAATATGTTTTGTTTGTGTTCCAAACCTTCATGTCTTGAATACGGTTTCATTAAATAGGTTGCCAAAGGGAAAGTATCATCACCAACGAAAACTGCCTTATTAGGTAGTTCCAAATCATTTCTTTCAAGAGCACTATAGAACTTTGTTTTTTTTTTTTCAAATATGCGAATCATTCATGCGTCCATTAGTTCCGAAATCTTATATATATATATATATATATATATATATATGAAACGGTAATGTGCATCCACTACAGCAAACAACTACACCACACTATAAGTGCCTTTGTAATTATAATAGTCTGAAGCTCCGTGTGGTGGATTTTTTATTAATACGTGTTTCCCGTCAATAGCCCCACAGCAAAAAGGAAATTGCCAGCGATCTAAAATATCCTTTTGTATTTTATGCTATTGATCTGTGGTGGCTGGCATCTAAAAGAAATAAACTTGTAGGGAACAGGGAAAAGAAAACAAAGATTCAGCGGTGAACACAAACAGCGACGCGTCTTCATATTTTGATGAACTGGGACAAGAATCTAATATTGCGCACTTACAAAAGAAAAAAAATGTCTCCAAAGAAAAAGGCGGAGCGTGCTCTAATAATGGACGTACCTAAAATGGACCCACCTGTTTTACAAGCAGTCAATAGATTAGAAACTCTGGCTAAAACTATCCGTCAAGCTGAATTTGATACATTCGGAGTACACGTGGCAAGCCAATTACGTAGTTTGCCATTAACAAATGCTATTGTTTGTCAAAATTTCATCAATAATTATTTGTCACAAGAAAGACTGATAATCTTAAATACATAACATTTTCCAACTGCTAGACCTACGAGCTCACTCAGAGTATACACGCTATACTTCGGCTCCTGAAGCCGAAGCTACTACTTCCTGAAACTAAGCTTTTCGAAAGCAACGTGAAACTTCGACTCCTAAAGCTTCCACTTCTGAAAGGCACCTCGAATATGAAGAAGACTATTTTGCCAGCTGTTTACTAACACAAGAAAATACTGGGCAACAATACGCAGTGAAAGACGATATTATATCTCAAGCTGTTAGATCATGCTTAGATGAAAATACAATGGAAAATTTATAAATAAATCGTTTATAAATTAATTATTAGTTTCACTTACCATAATGAACTCCTGTAAAACATTTTATATAGCATCCTAAACATAATCCTATTCAAAAACAGCGAATTTGTGCATTCTGACTCTTGCCTGCGACTTGACTTATTTCTAATTTAATTTTCGGAGAAAGTGCTTCTCGCATATTGGTATAGCATTTTTGTAAAAGCGGATTAACCTTATGTAGTAAATTAAACTGATCAGTAGTCATTCTTAATCGTTTTTTAAAATAATCAGGATCTTCTAAACTCCACTCAATCAATAAAGTATCCGAAGCACCCAAGACCTTACGTCGAGGAATCCATCCACGTACCCAAACATTACGTTTTCTTCTTTTCTTTTGTTTTTTCTTCTCTCTTTGTTCTTTAAGCAATTGTTGAATAATTGAATAATTAATTATTTAAATTCCGCTACAAACGGCTATTCTGCTCAACATTTTCGATGGAAATGACCGAGCCGCATGTGATTTTAGTAATCTGTGTAAACGGGCTAGCGATGCGGCTTGGTGAGGCAATTTATGAAGCGACTCGCCGCACGGCGAAAATCGAACCGTGTAAATATCCCTTAAGATTGAGTGTTATTGTAAATACTATATGTTATGTTTTAATTTAACTAATATGTTTTAATTTGTGTAACCGTTTTTATTAACGTTTTGATATGCCGACTCATGTCAAATATTAAGTCATTCTCTTCAAAGTGAACTCGAAATTGAACGTCATTCTTCACTTTTCACATTTCATATGTCGACGCTAAGGATTACAATGCTGGCTGATTCAGCAAGGGAGTTTAAATTGGAGTGATACGACATAGGGGTTTTTTCCACGGTAAACGACTAAACCTGTTTTTTCTAAGGGTTAAATTGGATAAGATTTAGTCATCCCCAATGTGGGACTTTGTTTAACAAACTCGAATTTAGACATAAGTTAGTTTCGGCATACGACAATCCAATAAATATTGGCACGTTCGGTATAAAAATCACCACCAATGCTGTCATCTGCATAGCAATTAGTTTTACTGATTTGTTACATATTGTAGTGTATGTTCCTCCACCCTACTAGCATATACAAATAAATGTAGTCTTCGTTTTAAGCGACAGTATGATTAAAGTCTTGAGCAGAGAAACACGTCTCCCTTTCATTTAACAACCGTCTAACATTAAAATATCATTGTTATGGAAAATAAACAATGTAGGTGATAGCACGCAGCCTTGTGGAACACCGGTCTAATAATGACTTGTAGTGAAGTCAGAGCACGCACGGTACCCAGTACGATTTTGGTGATCTGCATGACTGGTGCTCCAATTGCAAAATTTTTTGGGAAGTCCATAGGAGGAAAGCTTTCGTAGCTTTCCTCCTATGGGCTTCCCAAAAAATTTTGCAGTGAGAAGTGAGAGAGTGAGGAGTGAGTGAGTCACATAAGAAGTGATTTGTGCTGAACTAAATAGAAGGCCTTCGTTCTGTTCAAAGTCCAAACTAAGCAATTAGAGCTACTTGGACTCTACTGCCTCAGCCAATCTATCTAGTGACCGTTTTCAAATGCAAAGTCAAATATTTAGTTAAAATCAATTACTCACTGGAAGAACATATCACATTCTAAACACTTATACGCAGGCGAGGGTGTGTTAGATGTCGAGACTTCTTCGTTCATTTCTTTCATGAGATCCTTTAATAAAGAAAAACAAATGTTATGAGATGTATTATGACATTAAAGATAAAATTCACCATCATCATATCGTTGTGTAGATTTTTCATGAGTCGCCTTAAATTAATTTGAAATAGATTACGTAGACTCGTGATTTCAGGGCCTATATACAATATTGTTGTAACTCTGACTGTGTTACAACAATATCGTATACGTGAGTCCTCAAACACTCAGACTGATAAGAGAAGCAGTTGTTGTTGTGTGAAGAGAGATCCCTGATGAGTGCACTGGGCAGTTTCTTAACGAGGTGTTGTTGTGCGAGCACATTGCACAATGAGCGCTATCAGCGCTGACAACACTGACCTTGTTCGCGGTCGCGACGCCACCTATGTTGATGAGTGCGCTGGGCGGTTTTTTGACGAAGTGTTGTAGTGCGTGTACATTGCAAAGTGAGCGCTGTCAGCACTGACCTCGTTCGCGATCGCGACGTCGCCTATGTTGATGAGTGCGCTGGACGGTTTCTTGGGAAGGTGTTGTTGTGCGTGCACTTGTGCTAGACGGGTACTCGCTTCCGTGTGTCCGCACAGCCGGCACACATGTCGCACGTAATGCGACTGCAAGTGGTAGGACATCCCCTCCTCTTCTATGTACGCTAAGCAAATCTTGCACGCCTTTGTGCCCGTTCTCTGTCGACAGATGATTTCTATTTGTATCTTAGTAGCCGAAATAAGACGCGTTATTATTAAAAAAATACAACTGAATGCGTTAATATCAATAAATACATAGAGTCGCAATTTTAGTTAGTTAGTTTCATCAGAAAAAAAATCTAGCCTATAACCATTGCACGGTTTAGACGATTCGATAGCCAGCTCATTGGTTAAAGCTTCAACCGTTTTAGCCGATGGTATTCTTCAAGGGTTAAATAGTGCCACATATATACACATATAAGAGATAAGAACTTTATCACAAATTTATTATAAGTTTTGAAAATTTACGTGAGAATGATTGCAAACCAACTTTTAATCATAGATCATATTTCTTAATTACTAATGGTCATTCAAACTGAAAAAAGATTATAGAGACGTAAAGATGAGTTTCAAAGACCTATTCAATGGTACCCCACATAACGCGTTCGTATACTTTTATTTTTTTATCTCAATAAGGAATTCGAATTGTGATTACTGTCATACCTTTATATAATTATATTATTATTATTATTATTATTGACACTTACTTAATACATATCGATTAACGTAAAAATCATCAATATCGGCCCACGCGTTTGATCTCTAGAGCTCCACAAAGGAACCACCATACATACATACACACAGAGACTGACGAACACATTACCCTCCTTTGCGTCCTGTAATTCGACATTATTTTTTGTATGTATATTAAGCGATACCTTCGCCTATTGTGAACCGATTTAATGACCTCTTTTTAAGAAATAGACTAGGGACCACCATTTAACACTAGAAGGATCAAGACCGTCAGTTTTACGGCAAAATGATTCTGATCGCTAATAACTTTTTATCTATTTTTCAGTTTGTATTCATGTTTAATGACTTTACCTAACTTATCATTGTATAAGTTTTAACTTAATAAAAATAAGTGAGTTATGATTGTTAAACGAGAAATGCTTACTTATTACTAATGATACCGGATGTCGTCAATTTGACGCCACATCAATTAGTGTGATTGAAAACAAAAGGTTTCTTTTTACCTTCTCACTGTAAGTTTTATTTATATTTTGTATTTGTTGACATGACTTGTAATTTCAACTAATTCTTTGAAATGAATTGTCGTGTGTTTACATTATAAAATAAGTTCGAATCGACTGTCAACTATAGACATAGAACGGGAGTTATTGCGACTACGTGGTATCGAAAAATATGTCTCAGATGATGACAGTGACAATGTCACTGTTTCGACAGTGACAATGTCACTGTTTCGACAGTGACAATCAGTGGAGCTTTGCGAAAACGCAGATGAAGCTCTTACTAGCCTTCCACGGCTAGTTAGATCGTCATCATTACCAGCAGAAATAAACGAGAAATCTCTGAAGAACTGTAAAACACTCGGTCTCGTTCGGTAGGCACGTCAATGTTCTGCTACGATGGATGTTTGACCCTAGTCTCGTACAGGCCGAAGCTCTTTAAGATGGTTTACCTGTTATCAGGTGATGAAGACGATGTCATCAACCCAATAACTGGTAAGCCTGAAATTATAATGTATCAGACCAAAAGCGGGGTGGACACTTTCGATTAAATGTGTTCCTCAATGTCATGTCTACGTTTTATGGCATTCTGAACATAGGATTCGTCAATTCTTATGTTATATATTGTCACAACATTCTTGCGAAAAATGAAAAGCTTCTAAAAACCGGGTTGTGCAGAACGATACAGATAATGAAGAACCTCCAGCCAAGAAAAGGCAGTACTGCACCTTTTGCACTAATTATAAAAAAAGAATGTCTAAGATAATTTGCGTCAAATGCAGGAAAACAGTTTGCGGCGAACAAAAAAATAATGTTTGTTTTGAATGCCTATCAAACCAAATTTGAGCCAAACGATTATAGTTTTGACTAATTTTTCTTAGTTGATTAGTTAGTAAGAAATAATATAATTCGTTTTTAAGAAAAAAATATATTATTTTTTGATAGTATGTTCCTGTAAACAAAAGACTACTAATTTTGTTGATTTTTTCTAGAGGGTTTTTTGATTTAAGTTTAATGTTCTAAATATATAAAATATTACACTAAAAAGTTTTTTATAATTAGTTCATTAACCACATTTCAAAACAATCAAGTAAATAAATACAATAAATAGGTATTTCATTAAAAAAATATTAATATATCGTGCGCCTCCGAAGCGCATGGTTATCTTTTGTGACAGTCAAAATATGGTTATCTTTCTAGGGTTAACGATTGTTCTCACAGTGCTGATAAAACTTTGTTATACAACGACTCCTGAAGATGTTGATGTTACATCAACATCACCAGAAAATATTCCCTGTTCCAATCCCCCATCGCTTGTTATGCCTTTAAGTACACTTTGTAATGAAACAACTTCAATGTCGAATGTAAATCCTTTATCCGTTTCTTCTATTGCTACATCAAACGATTGCACTTCTTTTGAAAGTAGTAAAACAAAAAATCCACTAAATAGACGGTCATCAAAGAAAATATCCGACAAAGAACGTAGGCGCATTAGGCACGTAGTTAAAACTGGATGGCGACGAAAAGAAAACGTCTTTGTAATACGGAACAAAAATATATTACTATAGTCCCTCTTGCGTAGTTGAAAGTTGAAAGTCAAGACGGTGAGAAAAATGAAACCATGTTTTAGTTATAGTTGTCGCCTCAGCGAGGAAAGGCGTATAGAACTATTTTTTAAATTCTGGGGTAGGGGGAGCAGTGGGCTTTCTCGCCCGCCTAAAACACGCTGGCGCCTCTTACCAAGCCCAAGAAGTTCTTTTTATTTCATTTTATTTTGTTTTTTTTTTTCATATAATAATTTCATATAATGTCAAACATATCGCTGACCTATGGTAATAAAGGGGTAACATTAAAAATAAAATTTTATAGGAGAAATAAAAGAAGCTTGTTTGTTTACAGTTTAGGGAATAAGTGATCCAAAACAGGCATTCAATATGTCAAATGAAAGCTATTTTTTTTTCCAATTTAACCTTTTAAAAACTACTTGTAATGGTATAAATATTCAATGAAATAATTGAAAAAATGTATAATACAAATTAGATGATACCATTTCAATTGCAACCTCATTAACGACTTTTTAAACGCACCGAATACTGAGATTCAGGAATGTAAGAATATAATACGACGTGATTTCCACTTTAGATTTCGAGTTTACCAGCCGATTACCACCTTTTTCAAGGAAATTTTATAGCCAAAGCATAGCTGTATCATCCACTAATCGCTATTTTAGAATCCTATCAATAAAACATATTTTTTGCGCGCACGATAAAAGAATACATCGAATCTCCTTCAAACTGGCTATGGTCAGTTACAAAATATATATGTGTCATGTTAAATCCATACTTTTTGACCAATTTGCCCTTTTGGCCATTTGATAGTACTATGAAAACAGTAACCTCTTGCACTTAATTAGTTGTAAATCGTAAAGTTATATATAAGATATTTTCGCTTGTAATGAAAGTTTCCTACCTCTGATTGAGAAATCGTCAGAACTTTCTCCAGATCATACATGGCGACGATAGTAGTCGTAGGATCGATTTCAATTTTATCTTTAGTTTTGAGTTCACGGTACCATCTTATAGTGCTATTAGTGCAATTAAATCTGTATATTAAAGAAGTACGCAGGCAGCAGTAGTGGCTTACGGGGTTTCGACGCCCACTGGGCCAACTGTCCCTCCCCCCCACACCACCATCCCCCGTGTCCAAACCGGCGATTATAATTAGTCCTACGGTAGAGGTGAAATATCGCCAGGATGCCGTCGAACTGTTTAAGAAGAACATTAACTACCGTGCTTTCAACTACGCAACAGCTAGAATTCAGTCAGTTTCCAATAATAAGTTTAGGGTTAAAATCTACAAGTGGTGACGGTGAGAACCTCAAGTTGAGTTTCAAACGTGAAAATAGGAACGCCAATTTGTACAACGCGGTATTGTTAGTAGAACCCTAATTATACAATAAAATGCTCGACATACTACCAGGGGCAAAAAATAGTAACTTTTTAATTTAAATTTCGCGCGGAAATCCATTCGTCGAAATTTTTTTCTACGTTGCTATGATTGTCAGTGACATCTGTGCCGAATATCACAAAGTAATCATTAGTGTTTAGTATACACTTTTCTTTCTAAAGTACAAAAAGTGTATTCGGAGATTTTTACAATGAGTGAAATTATTCAACAAAGAAGTTCCATTAAATTTTGTGTGCGGAATCAAATTTCTGGTACCGAAACGTTCAGAATGTTGCAAAAGGCCTTCAGTGATAACTGTATGTCGCGAGCAAGTGTTTTGTTTGGTACAAATTTTTCAAAGAGGGTCGAGAACGCGTTGAAGACGAACTACGTCCAAGACGGCCATCAACATCAACTGATGATCAACACGTCAATAAAATCAAGGAATTGGTGCTCGAGAACCGACGATTAACAGTTAGAGACTTTACTGATATAGTTTTGGAGTATCGAAAGGATCAGTGAAAACCATTTTAAAAGATCATTTGGGCCTAAGAAAAGTGAATGCACGATTGGTTCCAAAATCACTCAATTTTTTTGAAAAACAGCGTCGCGTTGACGTCTGTAATACAATCCTTTCAGACTACCTGGATGTCATGTCTGCAATCTTGGATGTGATGTCACTATGGACAACTGATTTACCAGTATACCGCTAGCTCTAGAGCTATTGAAACGGAAAACTACCATTGTTGACACCCTCAAGTCTAATAAACCATAAATACCTTCAATTTTCAAAGAATCACGTCAAAGAGAACAAAAAGTAGTTTTTGGATTTCAGAAAGACTGCACTCTAGTGTCATACATACCAAAAAGAAACAAATCCGTGATTTTGTTATCTACAATGCATCATGATGGCACAATTGATTTAACTACAGGAGATAAACAGAAACCATAAATAGCAACTTTTTATAAAAAAAAAACAAATGTAGACATTATTGATAAAATGTGCAATTAATGTAATGTTTCAAGAAACAATAGACGATGGCCTTTTACTGTATTTTTCGACTTATTAAATCTCACAGGTATAAATAGCTTGGTAATTCATCAGATGAATAGGATGGGAAATTTTTCTGCTGAATGTGACGTTTAAATTGGTGAAAACCGCAAAAAACTTTAGAATTGGTGTTCCATATATTCCACGGGAACTAAGAACTAAAGCTCAAATACTTTTAAAACTACAAGGAGATGATATTGAACCAAATACAAATCGGTATGTCCAGAGAACAGGAAAAAGTGGTCGATGTGCCTATTGTCCAAGATCACATGATCGTTCTGCTTCAAAATTCTGCAATACATGTAATAGATGGATTGTCCGGACTATGAAGTCGTAATTTTTACACATTGTAATCAAAATACATAAAAACTGTTAAAACAAAGCAAAAAAAAAAACGAAAATATTTTGGAGTTGGTAAAATTCATAACATTTTTGTATTATTTTTTTAAATCACTTTCTTGTGTTCATTTAATAAAAATACAAAATTACTGTAATATTTATGATAAATAATAAATACATATCAGTATTTTAATGCATTTTATTTCATACTAGCTGTACCCCGCGACTTCGTTCGAGTAAAATTTATTACGATTGAATTCCATGGATTTGAATTTTTTGTGCAAGATCCCAATTCTTTTTCTAAAATAAAAATGAGACTAAGTTACTCCTTATAACATCAGCTATCTGCCAGTGAAAGTCTTGACAATATTGGTTCAGCCATTTCGGAGAAAAGCCGGAACAAACAGAAAAGCACATACAAAAATTTTAAAATATTTCATATAGCTGTGCCCCGCGGTTTCACCATCGTATATCACGTGTCTGCGCCGCGCGACATGACTTGACACCTCGCTCATTTAGTTCAATCATTTTAGCTAAAAAATTTAATGTAGTTACTTTTATCTATCCGCATAATATGTACGTTTTACAGCAAAGTTAAATTTTATCCACTCTCTCTCTCCCTCCCGGATGAACGTCCCAGAAAGTGCACCGAAACGCGGCTTTTCCAGTTTTAAAGATGAAGAAAGTGTGCAAGAAACGATCCTTGATGAATTTTCTATCAACTTTTCATACATGTGAAAGCGATATCATTTATAGTTTTTGCGCAATCTGCCAAAAAATATGAACATTTCTTATCTTTAATCGATTTTTTTTTGCTCAAATTTTAGGTTCATTAAAATTTCCAACTTTACAGCCAAAATATGTATGACTAAAGTAAAGAATAGACTATGCCCTTTAAAAAGAGGTAGAAATTATTTCTTAACTCTTTCATTTCATTATGATAAAACTATTTATTTGAATAACAATTAATACTGCGAACCGTAGTATTCTTATACAAATGAATACTATGATAAGACTGTAACGGACTTTTGTATCGACCGGTGCGGTGATCTAATAAAATTTTAGAACATAAAAGCTACTATTGTGACGTAATTATGACAGTAAGATATATTCCTTACGTGGACTTTTTTGCAGATAATAATGAGTACTTTAATCACGTAGCACACAATTTTTGTATCATCAACTTTTTCCAGCGCACGCCAAATAATTAATTTTATAGGCAACATTTTGCTACTTTGGGTTATAATTTTCTTAAAGATCCCCAGTTTTTTTTTTTTTTTGAAAATAAATTATAGCCTTTCTTATTTTGTGATAATTTAGCTTTCTATTGGTGAAAAAAAATTTTAATCGTTCTAGTAGTTTCGGAGCTTATTAGGTACAAACAAACAAAAAAATCTTTCTCCTTCATAATATTAGTATAGATAACAATTTTTTTTATTATTATTTTTTACTTATTGTTTTTTCTTTTTAAATTTTTATTATTTTTTAATTAGAAATATTAAATTATTTGTAAAAAGATCATATCTACAAAACATAAGTCATTAAATTTATTAGTTTAGAGCTTCCCTGTAAACGACATTTGATGTTGTTTTACTTTGTGGCAGCAAAATATCCTTGGTATATGAGATAGTTGACCAGCTGATAGGCCGGTAATGATGGTCGCTACAGTTAAATTTTTCTTCAATTCCTTAATAAGTAGCCCTATCCCATTGCACATGCTCAGGGGGCTTAAATTTCTCAAATGCATGATTGGCGTTCCAACTTTTAACGTCAATTCGTATGGTGGCAGTCCAGAAGGGTTTAGTGAATTTAAAAATTTCTGTGGGTAATGGACTGCGTCTTCGATATTAATCACTGTGTCGATTGATTTGTAATTTTTATTTGGCCGGGGACTTTTTTATTTGACAGATTATTTCGTTGACAGTATAATTCCTAGGCGAAACTATTGCTCTAGAACACAACCAATGAAAGTTCTTTTCGTGCAAATTCTTGATGTCAGGGTATACTGCTTCTATTAAAATTTCTAAATTCTGTTTGGCCTAGAGACTCGTCCAGATGGAGTCACAATTTTTGCTTAAATTTGGAGTGGAAAAAATTTCTTTCCCAAGTTTTAGCAGCTCCTTTGGGAAATCACTATCGGGATTACATGAAAATTAGCGCCCATATTTGTCCGTAATTTTAAATTTTACGATTTCAAGCATGCTTTGATGATATCTGCTCGCGTAGCTCTGTTAATGACGGAAAGAGTCTGTCGGAAATCTCCTGCAAATACAAAAGTGATCCCGCCCATGAGAGCAGAGGAGTTTCTAAGACCTTTTAAGGTTCTGTCTACGGCCTTTATATGAGCTCTATGGCTCATGGTGCATTGATCCCACATAATCAATGAAGTGTCTTGTAGTAATTTACAAAGAGGCCCATTTTTGCGGATAGAACATGTAGATCGTTGCTCAAGAGTTACAGATAACGGAAGTTTAAAAGTATATTGAGCAGCTTTTCTATCCTTTAAGAGAGTTGCAGCAATTCCTGACGAAGTAACTGCTATCGCTATCTTCTCCGATTGTCGTATCTTAGCAAGTATCAAATGGGGAGTGCGAACTTTGAGAGAGGCATCAACACGGATGGTTGCTATATTAACAAGGATTTAAAAAGTTAAAAATTTTACTTAAATTACACGGTTAATGTAATTGGTGGTTAGGAACTGTACAGGCACTGATATAGCCTTGAATACGAGGTGATTTATTTTAATATAGCGATTAATACCAAGGTACGAATAATGTGGCCTAGTTTGTACCGGCGTTACTATTGCAAATATTAACATGAAAAAGTAGTTATTGTGATATAGCTTTCATAGTTAGATATCGCCTTTTTACAAGAAGAACGTGACATCTTATAAAAACGTATTTCTTTATTATTTTATATTCAAAACCGCGATGTCGAATTTTATTGTCTACAAAAACGCGGCATTTTAAAAGTGAATTTTTGAGGAGCTACGAGTGAAAGAGACGACACGACCGTGGCAAATGGCATTATAACGTTGTCTCTTTCGGTGTGGCGTACGACTTCGACAACGCGACGCGTTAGTTTGCCCCGCACGCGCAACGAGTGAAGTGCTCCTGCTTTTCACGAAAAACGTGGCATCACGAGTATACCACGTTTTTAGTGCAAAGGTATTTCTTGTTATTATTTACTTTAACTTGAATAATGTGATATTAATTATTTTTAACCCTTTAAAATAAAAGAAACGTCAGGCAAATAAAATTTTTGTACTCTGTGATTTGACAGTTTGCTAGCAATAACAAAACGAAACAAAATAAACAAAATCTATGGACGTCATTTCTCGGTGTTCGGATTATCTATCGGGTGTCAGGTTATCTGGCCTGTCCGGCAAATGCACTTTTGAATAAACTGCTTTTATGTTTTTTTTCCTGTTTCAGATAATACAATTAGATAAACTTGAGGCAACTCTAGAGGAACTTTTTGGCTTATCAGATGGTGAGCGTTAGGAAGATGGTTATGAAAGCGACGAACGGGAAAATGAGGCGATTTTCACGGAAACAAGTCAAGAAGAACTCGAAAATATTTTGGATTCTCCGTCGTCTTCTAGAAGCCAAATTGCTGTCAATTCACCTATACCTTCTGTAAGTGGAGTTTCTGCAATTCAAGATATCAACGAATCGGCACCAGATGATGCCAGTAATAGCATTGTTATGAGAAGCAATAGTCCGGAGCCTGAAACTATTTCAGACACTGAAGAAGACGACGACGACGATGATGATTGGAAGAAAGTGTTTTTCCCTCATATGGCACCTATTGAAAAGTTTGATGATATTCCAGTAAAACCAAAACAGAATTTTCCAAACAGAAGTGGTCCTCATACATATTTTAGATCATTTTTCTCTGAGGAAATATTGCCTGTAATAGTTGAGCAAACCAATCTTTATGCAGCTCAAAACAAGCAGAAGAATTGGGTTGATGTTTCTGTTGTGGAAATCCAGGCGTTTCTTGAAATATTGGTACTAACAGATCTGGTACAACAGGTCCACTGTTTTGTAACCGGGAAATTGCGGATGTTATGACCTTCAAAAGATTTAAAATGATCCTAAGGAACTTGCATCCAAATGATAATACGAAAATGCCTCAAAGGGGTGAACCAGAATTCGATAAACTGTATAAGATTAGGCCTTTAGTCGATTTCATGAATACGGCTTTTCAAAATGCGACAAGGAACTCTTCGTCACAAAGCATAGATAAGTGTATGGTGAAATTCAAAGGGCGCAGTACTTTGAAGCAATATATGCCCAATAAGGCCGTAAAGAAGGGCTTCAAAATATGGGCGCGGTGTGATAGCAACACAGGCTAGCTTTATAAATATGAAATATATACTGGCAAAAAGGACAACGAAACAGAGTTTGGATTGGGAGCTAGTGTAGTAAAAAGTCTCTGCAAAGCAGTAGTGGAAGAAAAGATGGATAATGTTTACGTTGCATTCGACAATTTTTTTTCTTCAACTGAGCTTATGCAGAGTCTATTTGAACAGAACATATATTCGACAGCGACAGTCCGGTCTAACAGAACCAATTTACCCAAGAGATTGAAAAACCAGGCTGCCAAAAAATAAGTGGAGAGTCAACAAAAATGTTCGTTTTTTTGTTGGATAGATACTAAGATAGTCAATATTCTTAGTACTGCCTACCATCCAAAACAAAAAGTGTTATGCAAGAGGACACAAAAAGATGGCGGTAAGCAGGAGGTGCCATGTCCACTGGGAGTGGTAGAATATACGAAGAGGATGGGGGTTGTGGACCGCTTCGACCAAAAGCGTGGCACATATCAAGTGGCTAGGCGAAGTCGAAGATGGTGGATGAGGATATTTTATTTTAATCAATCAAAAAAAATCAAAGAATGCGATACCCTATGACTAGTTTGCAGTTCCGCACAATGCTGGGAAGGAATTTGATTGATTTTTTCAGCAGCAGGAAGAAAAGGGTGTCTAACTTACCATCATTTGTTTGTAAAAAACCAAAACTTGATAGCCGACAGAAAGCTAAGTATGGTTTCCCAGACGATCTGCGGCTAACAGATGTAGGATCTCATCTCCCTGGTCCACTGTAAAGTTACAGAAGATGCAGAGCTTGCAGCAGCAAGGAAAACAGCAAAAAATCAAAAATACAGTGCATCCGCTGTGAAGTTGCCTTGTGTGTGATCCCATGTTTTGCCGAATTCCATAGGCCCTAGTAAGGCTCTGGCCAAATAATGGACACCATGTTTAAAAAAACTTAAAAAAACTCATATTCTTAATAGAGGTCCTAGTTATCATATTTATCAATTTTTTAATTCCATACCCTTAGCAGTTTTCCATTCCTTATAAAGGGTTAACTCGTTTTTTTTTTTTGTAAAACTCGTGAGTATTGAGAATGAGATAATGAATATTGTCACATTATTGATGAAAAAGTTACAAGGTTTCTTTGTGATATCTTTGAATGTAACCATGTTGTTGATGAATCGTTTTCAAATACTATGGGTTATTTTATTTTACATCATTATTTTTGAAAACCTTTAAGTTTGGGTTTATATTATGCTAAAATATTACATTATACATGCTAAAATAAAGTAACGTTTACGAATTTGTTTTTCAGATGGCATCACGATCTAGGATGTTAGTTCAATTAGCTACAGGTGTTAAAAATAATTTAAGTGTACAACTAAGTGTTTTAAACTTTCAGATAGATATTTTAACACAAGCCGATAACGAAAATGCCAAAAGCTCGACCAATACATTGCAGACATCTAAGGAAGGTATTTTTTTTTACTTGTATTGATATTTTTTGTAGTTATGTTCCTATAATTTCATTATTTCAATTATCTTTGTAGACAAACACATAGCAGTAAATTCCATCCGAACTCGTAGTAATTCGACTAGTAGCAGCAGTTCCTCTAGTTCTAGCAGTTCTTCGAGTTCTAGCAGTTCTTCAAGCAGTGGCCCATCTATGTATCAAGGTAAGTTAATTTATATCCCACTAGTCTCACAAAATTCGAGGGTAATTGATAAAGTCAATACCACACCACTACACTTCAAGAAATTGATTGCATTTATAACGTTTCAGACAGCGACGACTCAGTAAAGGATCCTGATTATGAAGCCCAACCAACAAAACATGCTGAGTATTCTTCTGATACTGCCGAGGAACAAAATATCACTACCAACTATACAAATATTTCTGATGATCAAAATTAGGTAACATCTAATATGGTTTCAATAAACATTGAAATCTACGAGGAACCACTTTCGTCTACAAACAACATGCTATGGTATTCAACGATCCTGGTTTCATAGAGAACAGTGAACTTTCTGCGATTGAAAACGTAAGCAACGGAAATGCTGTAAGTCCAATAGTGTATAATTCTAGTCCAACTAAAACTGGTAAAAAAAGAAGACTAAATGAAGCAAACTCGAAAGTCAATGTAGCGAAAAGACTGAAAAATAGTGGTAAGTCATCAATCTACCAAATCAAAAAAAACATGCCAAGTCATGAATCGAAACCTTCTTGTAAAGATAAATGTAAATTTAAATTTGGGTTTAAATTTACAGAGGAGCAAAGATAGATAATTTTAAATGACTATTGAAGCTTAGGTGCAATAGAAAAACAATGGACGTTTATTGCTAATAGCGTAGACATAATCATCCCAAAACAACGTTACGTTAAAGTTGATTATGATGGAAATATTGCAACTATTCGAAACAACAACAACGCTTTCTTTTTTACTATGAGTTTGTAAATTGTTCTTCAAAAATACTTTGGGGATTAAAAATCGACCCATAGAGACTGCTTTGAAAAAGGAAAATAGCAACACTAATATTTCTTCCATGAAAGATAACCGAAGTACTCATTCAAACCATTATGCAGTGGACGAAAGCATTAAAAATGTCATCAAATTGTTTATTGAGTCTATACCGAAGATTGAGTCACATTACATCCGGGCTAACTCAAAACGAAATTATATTGATGGTAGCAAACCTGTCACGGATCTTCATAGAGATTATGTGGAAAAAAGCAAATTCCAAAACGTCCCCTATGGTACCTACATTTTATCGTATTTTCACACGAGATTTTAACATTTCGTTTTTCACTCCTAAAAGGATTTATGTGATATATGCGAAGCCTATAAAAACATCACAGATGAAGAGAAAGAATCTATGAAACAAGATTATGAATTACACCTTAAGGAAAAGAATTTGTCTCGTATTGAAAAAGATAAGAACAACAAGTGTTCCAATGCCTCAAAGGAGACGTCTCAGTTTTTTACTACAAGTCAAAACTAAATGTACTTAATTTAACAATTTATAACTTACAAAATAATTCAGTTGAGAGTTACGTATGGGATGAGTCTAACGCAAATAGAGGTGTCAACGAAATAGCTACCTGTGTTTACAAATACCTGGAGAAAATTTCCCGCAACGGCTGAAGACCTCGATGTAGTCTTTTATTCAAACAATTGTGCCGCACAGCAAAAAAAATAAGTTTATGATCTCAATGTATACTTACGCAGTCAAAACTCTGCCAAATCTCAGATCAATTACACACAAATACCTTGTTAAAAGTATGTCTTTTAACAAGGTATTTGTGTGTAATTGAGGGCGTGCAGATGAGGGCGATTCAGCTCACTCTCAAATAGAGAGAGAAGTTAAAAGGCAACTAATATCGGGACCAATTTATACACCTGACGCATTTATCGGGGCTATAAAGGCGGCACGGAAAAAAAACGAGCCATTTCATGTTCATGATATGTCTTTCGATGATTTTTTTGATCGGAAAAGTATATGCTTTCAAATGAACTTTGCAATAATGAAAGATGAAGACAATAATACTGTGAAAATGGCTGGAATGAAAATGATTAAAGCTCTGATCCCGATGCCATATTTTTCAAAGAATCATACGCTGACGAATTATTCAAGAAAGCTATAGTGGTAAAAAAAAATTGAAATCGTAATAGCTAAAGCATTTATTTAGATTTGCAAAAGGCCTATCTTCAAAAACCTGGACTAGCTGAGAGACAAAAAGCTGATCTCATGGATTTGGTCAATAAAAACCTCATACACCCTAGATACTACAAGCCATTTTATGAATCGTTGTAATAAGACTAATTAAGTACAGAGATTTTTTGAATTGTACTTTTTAGAAATATTTAATTACTACATTTAAAATGATGGTGTTTTATTACTATTAAGAGAATTTGTGATTCTATGTTTATAAAGGGTGACAGCAATGTTCCTATTTTGAATTTCTAAGTACTATAAAACTTGGTGCCATAATTGTGTTAGAAGACGTTAATTACTATTATATAACTTTAAGTATATTTGATTTTGTTATTTGTATGAAAGTAATTTTAGTTACCTTATAATTTTAATTAAAAAGAGCACTAAGTACTATGTGATTGAATGATCTCTTGTTGAGTTGAGCCATTGTTTTTGTAAATTTGTATTTTTTAAATACAAGATCTTTATATTGATACTGTGTTTTATTTAACTTATCACACAGCCTTACACCTAAATTTAACATCTTCAATGTGATATATCAATATGTTACAAGCATTTTCTGACATATTTTCATTAAAAACGTAACATGTTTGTCTGTGTTTTTTTAATCAGTTTTTTTTTACTTATTTCATATTGCACTGTGTATATTTGCTTATTTTCAGAAAGCACATTAATTACCGCAACAATTTGTTTTCCGACAGGAAATTAATCAATATTTTAGAATTTATCAACGCTTAAATATTTAAAATTACTCTCCTGTAAAGTTGTGGTTTAAAAAATATCACGTTGTTCTGGTAAAGAGGCGATATCTGATATCGCAGATATTTTTGTAGATATTTATGCCCTCTATAAAACTGTTGTACATCACTTTCCTCTATTGTCAACAGTTTCCGCAGCGTACGCGATAAACGGATTTTTCGGCGTTACTATTGCATATTTTAACACGAAATAGTAGTTATTTTCACATAACTGTAATAGTTAAACGTATGGTATCGGGGACTTTTTTGTAGATATTGATATCTTTTATAAAACTGTAGTACATCACTTTGCTCTATTGTCAATAGTTTCCACAGTGCATATACATAAATGTAATAGTCGTCCTCAGTCGATTATAGTATATATACCTAAAACAGATCAAGGAAAATGGTCTAAATATTCACCCCACGCGAGTAAAACATTAGAAAATTAGGGCGCGTATACAGTAGTGTGAAAAATAAATATTTTATCCATTTCGAAGGTCGAAATTTCGAAGGATAAATTTTTCAAACGTAATAATTCAATTATATAAGAAAGGAGCTTGCAAACTAGTTTAGTGTACTGAAAGAATTACAAACTTAACTGATTCCGAACAGAACCAACGAGAAAAAGTGATAAAATATCACGAGGGTAAAACTTGTCATAGGGGGATCCAACCCTTTATAAATTAAAACGGCATTATTGGTGGCAAAATATGAAAGAAACAATAACAGCTATAATAAATTCTTGCCTACAATACAAAAAAGATGAAATACGAAAGAAAACCTATAAAATGTGAGGTATTCAATTAACACAGAGTCAAAGCGCACCGGTCCAAGAAGTTTTCATAGATCTGCTATTATAGAATATTATTATATAATAGCAGATCATTTTTGTCAAATAGTATTTACTTTCTATGATCTGCTATCATAGAAAATAAATACTATTTGACAATCGTTGATGCTTTCAGTAACTTAGGCCAAACAATGAACATCCCAAATCACAGTACGTCGCAGAAATCGTAAGAGCTTTAATTAAATACTTTATTAAGTATGGATGTACAGAATTTAATAATGAATTAATAGAAGGACTTTTAAACCTCTATAAAATAGAACTTCACGTAGGAACCCTAGTTCCATGACAATGTTTGATTCCGCACAACCATTAACGAAATATAGGTTAGCTAAATATGATAAGACAGATCTTGATGCCTGCTCCGTGATGACATACGCCATAATGGCTTATAGTAATAGTATTCATTCCCATTATCAAAACCCAAAGCATTCTATCAAAATAAGTACCAAAATTTGTGATATTTATAATTTTTGACCACTCGCAATGACCAGTCTACGAGAATCAGTGTGTGTAGTTAGCGCGCGACTTTTGTTGTTGTTTATGAATAGTTATATTGAAAATACTGAAGTGAAATTGCTATAGAGTAACGGTAATTTATTGCTTTTCAATAATAACATAAATATTTCAAACGATTTGTATTGTTTTTACAGAGATAGTTTCGATTTCTTTTTTGATGCAGTAATGCATCATTGCGCTAAACAGTTACAATTTATTTATTTTTTGCTCATATGAATATTTTCTTATTTCAAGCCCAATATGAGTTCGAGGATTCAACGTTTAGGTCCTAGGCTTCCGAATTTGTTGTCCGACGACTTGGGAAGCATTTTAGAACAATGGCAAGATACTGAGGATGACTTAGATTTCTCAGACAACGATGATGTAGCTGATCCATTGTACGTATTGGAGGTGAATGAAAAGATTTTACGTCAAGACCTAGATAAGGAGCCCTAAGATCAGGACGATAACATCTTGATAACGAAGTCTTAGACTAATACCAGCGCTTCAGCTCAACTACCCACTACCCAGTACCAGCTCCGAAATTGGAACCACACCACGAAGCACAACCTGTTCCTAAAACAAGTGCCCCATTTTGTTTCTCCTAATGTGCTCAAGTAGAATTCCCTCCTAACCTTGGCAAGCAATAGATTTGGAAAAACGAGTGCATTGTCCAAGGTGCCGCGTGCCACGTCCGCCATCTAGTTGAGGCATAAGAAGCCATCCGGGTATACAGTCCACCTAGTATAACACCTCGCACAATAGGGTCAAGCCTCAACCTGGGAATCGAACTCGGGAACCCTTAGGCCCGCCGCCCAACCAATAATAGTGAAAAGAAAACGGATATGGAAATAAAGGCACATTTAAAAGTTAAAGAAAAATCAAGAAATTCTAGTAAAGTACAATTTGAAAAGTCTTAAATTATTACAAACACTGACAAACAAAGACCATGATACCGAAAAAGAAAAACCTTTTAGTGTAGTTGACAGTGTAAAAGTAGAAAAAGAAGAAAAGAGCATTAAAAGGAAAATAAACATCGAACTGCGGGAAGCGACAAGCAATGACAATGATGCATATGACACTTCAAGAAGATTTAGAAAATGGAGAAGATTTTGTAATCAGAGGGCACCGTATGATCTATTTACATTCTGTGGTTCGAAGCTGTTCATGAGATTTAATCCATTGTATTGGCGTTTTTAATCCATTGTATTAACCAGTATTAACTTTTTACCTGTGCTATGTATTGTACGTGGAAATTAAATCAGCTTAAAGAAGAATTAAAGAAAAGAGGTGTGTCTTGTAGTGGAAGGACAGACCTTGCAGAGGTTAGTAAATAAAATTTAAAAATTACTGCAGTGTTTTATAGTTTTTTGGTGAATGTTTTTACTAATTAGCATTAAACTCTTGACTATATTTCTGTGAAACTATATTCACTTCGTCTATTGTTTGTGAAAAATAAATACAAAGCTGTTTTTTGCGTTTTTAGGTTAGAGGCGTATGATAGAAATTTTAACTTCACTGATAAATCGTATTCCCCAGAACCAGTACAAGGCGAAGTATGGTCATACCAAAAGACGATTTTTATAAAGATATAAACACCAATACCCCATTGCCACCATTAAATAAACATTAAATACAAGAGTATTTTGGGGAGTGAGTATATTTATCTATTTAATATACTCTGTGCCCATAAAAGATTTTTTTTCATTGTCAGGAAAAAAGTATTCTGTATTATTCTTCAAAATCAATTTACGTATCAAAGCATTAAGAAGTAACAAATATACATATATTTTTATATATACTCATATACTTTTCACATTTGTAATATTAGTGTGATTCAAACATAAATTTCAATTCTTTCAGATGCAGTCAATCATTAATAAAGGGAAAACTTTATATGAAAATAGATACCTTCTTATATTAAGGGATGTCTCAATAAATGATTTTACATGTGTAAAAGGTTTTTCTAAAGCAGCAATGAGAAAAACACAGTATGAGGTAAATATTAAATCATACAAAAATGGTATATCAGAGGAGACTAATTGTGAATGTACAGCCGGATCTGAAGTTAATTCACAGTGCAAGCATGTTGCTACTGTATTGTTTGGCACAGTTGATATGATTGAACATAAAACTGTAGTATTAGAGGAAGTGTCCACCCAAAGGCTACAGAGCTTTCACCAGCCTCCTCTTGCACCTCTGAAAGCAAAGAATTTACCTTTTGTAAGAACTGAAGGGAATTTAAATTTTCATCCAGTTATCATCAACAAAGAAAAATATAATGAAAGAATACGGAATCTTGTGCTAAATTTTACAGGCAGTAGGGGAAGATCGTTACCCTTCGTAAGCGGGGCACATTCATACAGTCAAAATAAAACTTGAACGAACCAACGTACGATCTTGCTTTTGTATGTGTGCGTAAGTCGAAGTGCCAACTTTACGTCAACGCGCCATTCGCACAGGTGAGAGTGAAGTGACAAGCACAAACGTGTTTTCGCGCTCGGTAAGTAATTTTTTGATCAATGTTGTTACCGTAGACAAAATAAGTTTTCATGTAGAGTATTCTACCAATAAGTAGCAAAATATACTTAAGATACGTTTTCAACACTTAATTTATGACGTTTTCCTAATACCTATTTCTTATTATTTTTTACAGAAACATGGAACGGACTTATAAACCAAAAAAGACAAGTAGACAAGCTGTGGATCAAGAATCCATGCAGTCAGCAATACAGGATGTTATGCAAGGAGTATTGTCGTATAGAAAAGCTGCGGACAAGTACAATTTGAAATTGTCAACATTAGAAAGCCGAGTAAAAAAATACAAGAATAGCAATGATGTTGAAGGGTCAAGCAACCGTACGTTTGACTCTAAATATACAAGTTTTCAAGTCTTTTCTATGTAAGGAGAAAAACTGCTTAATTATTATATTATCCCCATTATAGTTGTGTGACAATCATGAAAGCCATGTTTCTCTCGAAGCGATCAACTACGCTAAAGAAGATGTCATAATTTACCTATCTTTTCCACCACATACATCTCACCGCCTACAACCACTTGATGTGGGAGTCTTCGGACCATTTAAATCAAAGTTGAAAATTGCTTTTAATAATTGGCATATAATGAACCCAGGCAAAGCATTGACAATTTACAATATTCCAAAGCTTGTGAAAATTGCATTTTTCGAATCATTCACGGCAAAAAATATCACTAGCCGGTTTAACAAACCCGGAATATGGCCTCTTAATGTATTATCCTTTAGTGACGAAGATTTTGCTCAAACTGGGGTATGTACATCCGGCAACATACAACAAGAACATGTGCCTTCTACTCAACTCAAAACCTCGTTGAAGATGTGTCAGCACCTACTTCGCATCCAAGTGTCTCTGATATCTGCCAACCCTCTACTTCGGGAACACGGGACTTCTTGGAGGTTCCGCGAGAACCTACGGAACAAACTATAAACTCATCATTGATAACTTATGACGATGAACTACAATGGTTTAATTTAGATGCTTGTGAACCAGATGCTTTGAATAATTTACCAATCCATCTAATAGTAGCTCCTTTGAAGACAGATTTGACACCAGAGGCAATTCGGCCTTATCCGAGTGTTGGAAGAAGTAACAAAACAAAAAAAGGATGACGGCCAGGAACATCACGTATTTATACCGACACACCAGAAAAAAAGCTAATTGAAGCGAAACACAATGAAAAGCTATTGAAAAAGCTAGAACAGGAAAGAAGGGATAGAGCAAGACAAATGAAACATAGTTTAGCTGATTTTAATTTAAAAACGAAGAAGAAAGCTAATAAAACAGAAAGTGATGAATCTGATTGTAATGAATCTGATATAAGCTTTCAAGAGAGTTCAAGAGATGAAACTGAGAATGAAAATTTTGAAATGAACAGAAGCCAATTGACAGTTAATGTAATACCAGAAAATATTAAAAACGGTTCGTTTATTTTAGTGACGTTCCCTAAGAAAAGAAGTATTATTAACTATATGGGAAAAGTTGTCGCTCACTATAGTCAGACTGAATTTTAAGTATCTTATCTAAGAAAGAATAGGCTTTTCGTGGATATTTGTTTTCCCTAATGTTGTACATATTCGTACTGTTTATATAACTGATGTTGAAATGATGCTTCCTGAACCTAAGCCTCAAACAGTTTGTACTTCTAGAACAACAAAACTTTTCACTTTTTCAGTAAATTTTTCTAATTTTACTGTTCAATAGTTTTTTCAGGTTTTTGCAGTTTTTGCAGTGCTAATCCGCACCAAAGATTAAAAAATGTGATTCTAAATTTAAGATAACTAATTTACCTAAAATGAAGCAATTTTATATTTTAGTGTTAGAAGAAAATTATTTAATTTTCGTTAATTTTCAGAAAAGTTATTTAAGTTTTGTTTTACATAAGAAACGCTATGTAATTTTTGTTGACTATAAGAAAAGTATTGTATTTTTGTTTAATAGAAGGTAAATCTTTATTTTTGTGTTTAATTTCATTTCTAATAATTGAATATTGATTTATATGTGTCGTTTTAATCGGACGTACGGAACTACCCCACAGCGTACGAAGATACTCCCAACACTGTATATAGGTGCTCCGTTGTTGGGGCAGATTCGTAATTATTCCAGATTTAGTTTAAATCATAATTATGCTTGAAACATCAGATGAAATCATCTGTTATTTTTTTATATGAATCTCAGATAGTTAGACTATAAATTTAAGCTGTCGAGTGTTTTCATGAAAAAAAAATTTAAAAAAATGTGGAAACCGTACGAAGGGTCCCCACCTTCCCCTACGCAGTATGCCTTTAAGGCAACTATATAGACCTGCAAATCCTTATGCAATCGAGTGGGATCATGGCAGTTACAGCGTTTATTTAAAAGATAAAATTTTTAAATCCCTATATTTAACCCTTAAATGTATTGTGATGGAAATTTCCATCAACCAATTTAATGTCATTTTTCGTTTTCACAGAGTACGGATATCGTATTTTTTGTACATCGTAACTTTTACGCAACAGTAGTGTTGTTTTCGAATGAAAAAAGAAGTTTGTACTTCAATGTTAGCTGTCAAATGTTATTTCAAAATCCCAATACTCGATATTCTGCTTGGTGAAGTTTTCGGTTATTGTGATTGTAAAATAGTTGTATAAAATACTGACGGTTTCTTTTCAAGTCATTCATAATGGATGGATTTGAGGTTAGTATTTTGATTTATGTCTTTATTTCTGTTATAAATAGATGAATTTTGGGTTTGATGTAAATTTACATCATCATGTAATGACGTTCATTTAGCTTGTATGAAAGTTAGTGAAGTGCTATGGTTTGATATAGTTTTGTTTCGTTTTGGTTCCAGGTGTTGATATCTTACAATTTATGACAGAGATATAGAACATTATTTAGCATCTTTGGAAGGTGCGTTGTTGTCGCGGAAGATGACGCGGAGAAGTCTGATGAAGAGGAGGAAAATGTGCCTGAAAGTTACGACGGAGATGATTTACTGAATATATTAGAAAGCAATGAGGAGGACACAGAAAACTCACAAAACCAAGAAAGTGACCCTTCTTTGATTAAAATTGAGGCAATAGACAACCAGGTTGTAGACAATAGTGTCCCTAGAGTACATATATTTTCAGGATTTTTAGATAAATGAAAACAGATCTGCAAAAAAAGAAACTTAGAATATTTCTAACACAGTACTTGTCCAACAAGCCTCATAAGTGACGGCTTATACTGTATGTTTTATGTAGTCCGCAAGGATTTGCATACAACTTAGATGTATATGGTGGGCAGTACCTTACCAACAAACCAGAAAATGAACCATATTTGGGCTCAACCTACAAAAATGTCTTTCCTTTAGCCTGAGATTATACCAAGGCAAGTCAGTCACATTGTCTATTTTGACAGTTTTTATACATCTCTGCCATTGGTGTACTATTTAGCAACTCGAGGAATCCTTCAGTAGGGAATTTCAACAAAATTACCTGATAAAAAAATTATGAATAAATTATCCCAAGAGGTTCACATGAAGGAAGAGTAACACATTTTAAAGTGTGGATATGAGTGAAGTAGCGTGGAAAGACAACAAAGTTGTCACATTACTGTCAACATGTGTTAGTGATTTGCCTATGAATAATGTATTCAGTTATGACAAGAAAAAAAAAGAAATGATACAGATTCCATGCCCTAAGATTATAAGTGAATACAATGCCCATGTAGGTGTATATCTAATGGATAGTCTACAGGGTAGGTACAGAATAAGGCTCAAGTCAAGAATATGGTATATTCAAATTTTAGACCTAGCAGTGCTAAATGCCTGGATAATACATAAAAAAATTATTGTTAAAATGTACCTAAGAAAGATATCCTCAATTTACGTACATTTAGAAATGAACTGTTCTTTGCCCTTTGTAACATGGGAGTAGCTAGAGAAAATAAGAGTTCTAGTCATCTAGAAAAAGATAAATAGGCCACAAGACAGTTCGGTAGAGGGCGCCGTTAGATAAACAAGCGCTCCGTAATAAATAAGAATAAAAAATAGTAAACAATAATATTAAGCGTTAAAAGTGTACGAAACTGAACCTAGTTAACATTATGAAAAAGTGACAGTGTTTGTGATATGATTCCTCAAGTATAGTGCACAGATAGATTGAAAAATAGATACGCCAATACTTTCCATATCCAAGTTAAGTTTTCTATTATAAAACAAACCGACGGACTAAGAACAGTGCAAAAAACACTTTAATAAATTTATTAGTGTAAACACGACCCACCCAGTGCAGTAAATAGTGCTCACTTTTTAAATTAACATAACGGATACCACGATAATATGAAAAATCATTTATTTGGACTTTCAACCCTGATCAGCTGAGTGAAGTAAACAATTATAAACACAATACGACGACCAACGACAACTAGTGTCGCATGTCTGAACTTGAGAAGACTAGGAATTCCTAAAAAAACAACAATCTGCCTGTGAAAATCAAATACTAGCATAATTCATAAACAAAACAAGGAAAAAAGTGATTAAAAATAAGTAAAAATACGAAGTGAAAACTATAACCACAGTCTTTTAAAATATTATATGTACTCGCTACGAAAATAACGATCTTTTTATAAAGACTAAGCACACAATACCAAAGGAGAATGACCAAAAGTGGTACCAAAAAGTCTCGCGCATCAAGACTAAATTTTAATAGTAATTAGTGTCCTAATTTTTTATGGCATTACGCGTCCGGGGATTTTACTTTTGAACAGGGAATTTTTTTTGAGTTTAAAAGTATGCATATTGATATTGTATTATTTTTCATGTTTATTTAACTGGTTTTACGGCTCCGGAGTCTAGCCCTTCTGAGCATATCATATCTTTCGGAATCTTCATTTTTATATTTTATACGTGGTAGAGCCATGCTTCAGTTATATTAGTAGTATAGTTGTAGCACGAATGGGTCGGCTCGACCGGGGAAGGACCACGCTTTCACAGAATACCAGCGTGAAAAGTAGCTTAATGCTGCTGTATTTTGTATGGTGAGTGTAGAGAACTGGTGACCCTTTTTTACTGGAAACGAGGCATATGGAATGCCTCGTTCTCAGTCCTCACGGGGGACAACGCATCTGCATTTTGATTTTTAATGGAGGATAGATGTAGATGTCTATGGGCCGCAGCAACCACTTAGCATCAGGTGGACTGTGTACTCGTTTGTCACCCTATTCTATAAAAAAAATATATTTTTTTTCTTCACAATATGCTGATGCGTCACATTGCAAAGTTTTTAGGAGATTTTGACGACAGCTCAACCGCTTTATGCTCCATTTTAAACAATATACATACGGTTTTAAAAATATATAAAATTGAAGATTCCGAAAGGCTAGAACCCAGAACCGTAAAAACCAGTTAAATAAAAAAATCTTATAAATGACGTTTAAATACGGCTGGTAGAGTGCGCGCAAGATAACTCTGCGCACGGCCAAAATTGGAACTAATCGTGTGCCGCCATCTTACTGTTTATGGCAAGTGTCTAAACAGAGTGGTAGGTGTCCTGTTTTTATTCTTTTTTTGCAGTAATTAATCGTTATCATTATGCCGAAAGTGATTAAAAGTACTGGCAGGGATGTTATTTTGAAGGTCAAACGTGCTTGTGAAGAAGAACGAGACAACAACGGGCTTATAGTACCATTTTCCAAAGTTAGAGCCCGCGTTGCATATTTAACAGGTAATTTTTAGGGATGCCATTACAATAAAATTCCCCAATTTTCTCTATTTGTTCCTTTTTAATTTCCTCGTGTCATTAATATCATGTATTTATAATGCATTGTTTTTATTTTGTTTTAGGTGTTTCTGAACGCACCGTCACCCAGATAAGTCAAGAGGGTAATATAGCAGAAGCTTCATCTTCTAAAATTGTGACGCCGGGAAAAACTAGGAACCGAAGGAAAAAAATTTATGATTTAGACGATTTCGATATGTGCGCTATAAGGCATTTAATTCAATCATTTTACGTCGTGAAGAAGGAGATTCCTACCATAAATAAACTTTGGTTGGAATTGAAAACTGATATTGGTTTTAAATATGGCAGAACATCGTTGAGGAGTATTTTAAAGACTATGGGTTACAAATACAAAAAGGTGCCAGTGTAAACGAAAAGTATTGGTAGAACGCAGTGATATTGCAGCTTGGAGAGCAAAATATATTCTGAGGTTGCGCAAGAATCGTCAGGAAGAAAATCGACCGGTAATTTATGTTGACGAAACGTATATACATGCTTCATACCACCTTCAAAAATGTTGGCAATCGAAGGAACAGCCTGGTATTCTTGCTTCTGATAGCGTCGGTGCAAGATGGATAATAGCCCATGGTGGAGGTAAAACTGGGTTTGTTGAAAACGGACTGCTGCTGTTCAGGTCTAACTCCAAATCGAATGACTATCATGACGATATGAATTCAGCTAACTTCATGCGGTGGATGAAAGAAAAAATTGTGCCGAATCTTCCAACGAATTGCATTGTAGTGATGGATAATGCGTCATACCACTGCACACAGATCAACAAGGCGCCTACAATTGGCAATACAAAAGCAGAGCTCCAAGGATAGCTTTCGAGAAATGGTATTACATTTGAAGACTGTTGGACAAAAGCGTAATTATACGAATTAATTAAAAAATACAAAGGAGACCCACAGTACGAAATAGATCAAATGCTAAATGAATATGGACATGAGGTTCTCCGTTTGCCGCCTTACCACTGCGATTTAAATCCCATAGAAAAAATTTGGGCAATAGTAAAGAGACGCATTGCAGAGAAAAATATCACTCAAGCTCCTAGCGAAATAGCTGCTATTACTGAGGCGGCGTTTAGAACAGTAACGACAGAAGAATGGTTCAACGTATGCCAACATGTAGAAAAAATAGAAGATAAATATTTCCAATCAGATAGGCTGATGGATATGGAAATGGATGAATTTGTAATTAATGTTACAGGTGACACCTCCGAGTCATCTGATGAAGACTCTAGCATGGATTCTGATGAAGATATGCGAATGGAAGGCGTTGATCCACTGCAGGACCATTGTTACACCAAATTTATAAATAATAATAGGTATTCAATAAAAGATTTACAAGGTTTCCTTGGACTTTTTATTTCGTTCTTTATAATAAATATTATAATGCTATTTCAGTTGTTTCAAAATACCTTTTTGGAAAAATTTATTATAGACAAAATATCAGTAGTCATTAATCTTAGTATTAGTCCTTTTTATACACGCATATAATAGGTACCTGTAATTGTGTAAAAAAAATTGTAGTGGCGTAGTTAAACTTGTGTAGTGAGGTATCAAACTTATGAAAATTAGATTCAAGAAATATATTTATTACGCGGATCTTAAACAATAAATATGGGGTTTAAAAAATTATTAGGTCTTTGTAAGTTTAGGCTGAACATTACAGTTTTTTTAATTGAGATTTGGTAATCAATTAGGTAATTTATGTAATTTGATATAATTATACAATTCCAGTAATAAGATTAAACGAAGGAAAAAATATTAGTTAAGCTGGCAACATTAAGCACGCCATCAGTCGCGCGCAGTTATCTTGCGCGCACTATAATCATTCAGCAAAAATCTATGGCCGTATGAAATGCTGTGAGCAATTCATTACATGACGTTTCCCTCGTCCCTCGCACCTCATGCCCCTTCCCTCTATTGCCATTTTGTCATATTACTTTTGAGCATAGACAATAGAGGAGCTGCCCAGAGCGTCTATATGTTTTATTGATTATACAAATATGGTTATATTCGACACTGAACTGTCAATATGCTGCCTATCTCTTTTTCACTCAGCGAAGTGTAAGTCTAAGTGTCATTCATAAATGAAACAGATAATAGAAATTGTTTCGCATTCTGGTAAACATTTTTAAGATGACGTCATTTAACCCCGCCTTGCGGCCGATTCCGCCATTTATTGTCTCAGATTTGCTGCTATAAAAAGTCGTTTGATATTTCTTAATTTGAAAATTTTGCGAATTTTTAAACAGTTTATAGTGAATTTTCCAATTCATTATAAAGAACGAAGATGACTAAGTGTTGCGTAAGAGGCTGTACCTCAAAATATAGTCAAAAATCACACGAACTATCATTTCATAGGTGAGTGATTTAGTTTTTGGTGTAAATATAATGTAAAAACGTTTATATCTTTTGCGACAGTAAGTAGATGGATGTAATTATTTACCCTAAACCTTTAATTCATATTATTTAATTACTTCTTATCATTCTTTCGTATCTATAAAATTTTGTTGTTCGTAAATAGTGATGTTACATTACTAACAATACATTCTTTCAAGGACATACTTTATTCAGGTTTTCTTGATTTATTCTGTCGTATTATGTGCAAAAGTTTTGCGTTATGCATTGCATTATTTCGGTGTCATGGGTCTGAGCAGTGAGCATAAATGATTAACTAAATTATACGGAAACGGAGTTACATTCATGGTAGGACCTACGGTACCTACATAATAAAAGTGAAGCAAAGCAACAAAGATTACATAAAGTACAATCTAGCGCCTGTAAGTAATCTCTCTCTGTAGGCAAACATGCAAATACCTCAGACTATGGACATTATTACTTGACTTTATTATATATTGTTTACTTATATATTGTATATATTAGCCCATCAGTGCCTTCTAATAATGCAATATACATAAATGTTTAGCATATACATATTTATAATTTACCTTAAGTCACCTTTTATAACAACCATGGTGTTGTTTAATTTGTAATATTATTTGCAGCTTCATAGATCTAAATCATTATTTTCTGTTCTATCATTTCTAGGTTGCCAAAGAACAAAAAGAAAAGACAAATATGGCTTGTCTCTATTGGTGTAGAAAATATCAAACCAACAGATAAACAAAACTTCATATGTTCCCTGCATTTTGCAAAGGAATCTATTAATAAAACTCTTGATGTAGTTAGGCTTTGTGATGATGCAGTGCCAACAATTTTTCCGGCTGTAAGTTTCTAGTTTTGTTACACTTGTACAACAAGCAATGTTTGTTATGCAAATATGATTAGTAGTTCTTTTAGAAGAAGTGATTACTGATGCTTAACATTACTGATTATGCATATTTTGACATAAATAATATTAGTTAGTTTCCAAAATATAGATATTTACTTTATATTTATAAAAAAAACTACATATATTTTTTATCATCTCTTTCCCTGCCCTATGAATCATATATGAACATTTCAATTGTTTAACTATTGTGTGTTTTGTAGACAGGGAAACTGTTACATATTAAAAAATATTTTTATAAACATTTATGATTAAAACATTGTATTTGTGGAATTCATTTAAACTTTTTGCGAAATTTGGAAATTAAGATTGTTAACTTGCAATTACTCTTAACAAAATAAGGCATAGGCCCAGTGCATGAAAATTCACTTAGGGAGTCATGTCCTAATTTGTAGCACAAGCACTCGCTACTAGGTCCACCGGACCCAGTATAATATAAGTTTATTCCAAAACTGCTTTATAAACGTAAATAGTTACTTTCTAATAAGGATATGATATGTGTAAAGAAAACTATAATTGAAACAAATACTAATATTTATTGTTTTTACTTAAACAAAAGTTGTTTCAAAAATATACTAAATTTCTCTAGAGTTTTGTGACATGTTAAAGGCTAATCGTTATAATTTCAAACAAATTACTTTTTCCAACAAAATCTAATATATTTTCTTACACAATAATGTATTTACTTACAAGAAATAAAGAGGGATCAATCTTCATAGAAATATTTAATATAAAATTCAAAATACAATATCTTCTTTGAACGAAAATCACACTTTCCAACATTCTAGTGACACTTTTTAAACTAACTGACTACCAATGTCGTTATTTGCCATGCTACACTATTGTTGAAAGGTACTAAGAGCTGAAACATTGCAAACGTCGATTTTGAATAGTTATTAAGCAAAATATTAAGTACTGGGTCCATTAGACCCATTAGCGACTGCTTAAGTGTTCAATGTAAAATATGCATCAAGTATGATGATTATGTTTTAAGATAATTAAAATTTTTTAAATAAGATAAACCTGTAATACAGGTTTTTATATCTACATCAGGCACCAATTTCTCACAAGTTAGGTACCAGTCTGGCAAATTTGTAATACTTAGCATTAAGTTTACCTATTGTGAAGAGAAAATAAATTCATTCATTCATAATTAAAAATAACAATATGGATTCGAGTAAATCTGATTATTTTCAATACAAAGCTGTAAGTCAAACAATATATGAGAACTACAAGAACATACTAAGAACTATGATTTATAAAGTAATAAAATATGAGCATATATTAAATTTATTATTTTTCAGGCCCAGTTATCAAATAAAGGAAATATTCTAAAGAGTGTTAATTCTCAAGAGCAGGGTAGTAATCAGGTAAAAAAAATTTGGTACTTACGTAATACTTAATAGTATAAGTCTATGATACTTATCTATGTGTTTACAAACAAAGCAATTAAGTAGGTGCCTGTCTAATAACTTTTTACTTGAGTATTGTATAAAAGATTCAGCTAATGAGTTATATAGCATTAACTTAACTTTATAGGGTATGCAGTTCTTAAGAATTGTAATATTAGCTACAAATTGCCTTAGCATATTACAAACATATTCTAAACTACTTTTTACCCGCGGCTTCGCTCGCGTTGGCTTCAATTTAGAAATATCTTTAAAACTACTTCAATTAAAGTTAAAATTTCATAAATCTAGTTCTATTCACGATGAACGTGTGACAGGGACTATATACATGAACGGGAGTAGAAATATAAGTATTAGCAATGTAGAGGCGGCGAAATGGAAACCAATACCTCATTTCGTCTCGTGGGTGTCGTAAGAGGTGACAGAAGGGGAAACTGAAACAGGAGATGGATGGCAGCATCTTCCTGATAACAGTGCAGGGTAATAAAAAGCTGCGGATGCCAACCCACTCGCCAAGGCACAAAACTCGCGCGGGGCGCAACGAGGTATGAAGGGGCGACAGGGCGGCGGCTCCACTCGCCGTCCGTAACAAGTAGTTTCATTGGGCCTCGCGGGAATCGAACTCTTTTGTTCCTGTGCTTTGAAATCTTACGGCGGGCTACACAGCTCTCGTATTTGCTTAAGCAAACTCATAAACACTGAAAATAAGCTTTTGCACTATTGTTGACCCCATCTACATTGTAATTAGTCAATCAAACTATTCCATCATTTAGATATGAAAATCTTAAAATCCACTTAATTTTCAATTACTTACATCGGTTTTGATACAAAAAGAAGTTGGTGAAATATTGCTATGCTGATAGACACCCAACATATTCAACTAAAGACATTCTGTCATAATCACAATTTTTTGTACACAGTTCTGTTAGTTATTTTGACAATAACGATAAATCATCCCGACACTGGTTTAGATATTTTAAGTCTGACAATTTTTGATGCTGGAAGAAAAAAAGTATTCAATAGAATTATTATTAGTTTATTTACCAGTAGGTAGGTGACGGTATTATGAGATTAAAACTATAAAAACAAAAACTGTACAGCGACAATAAGTTAAGGTGCGAGTGGGGTGCCGTCTCACAGAACAAAGCCGCCAACATTTATATAAATATAATACATACATTAGGAATAAATTATATTCTATTAAAAATTCTGCTTCTGTCAAAAATACGCTATCAGCGCTGCTAGCGATGTGTAATGAAATTATTTTACGATATAACAATATGAAGAAATAGCAATGTTGTGTTTAGTTGTTAATATCGCCAAACGATCTCTATTCGTTGATTTGGTCAGGCTATATCATGATATAATCAAAAAACAATGTTAAATTTAATTAAATGCCACCATTTCGTGCTATAATTAACTACTTTATGATATTATTAATTCTAATATCAGGCTAATAAATATATAAAAATCTCTTTATTTAAACTATATGGATAGTAGGAGTTTTGCAATAATTACAGTTTTATCAGTTTATTTATAGATAATCAAAACTTTTTTTATAGGTTAGAAATTAAACTTAGAAACATCTCACATTTTATAAATTTCGATAGATGTCACTATTATCTACTATTTAAGTAGTAATTAGTTACTATAAACTTTGTTAATTCCTACTAAAATGAAATAAGAAAAGAACTGAAAAATGAACGTTCGAATTTTCAAATAATTATGAATTAAATTATTAAACATATAAATGTATGTTATATATTTTATTTTATTCATTAGCAACTGGAGGTAAAATACTAAAATACTACTTTTTGGATTTCACGTTAGATGGCACTGTTTTGATAAAGTGAAATTTAGATTGTCGCCGTAGTTAAAATTATAACGCAACGGTTAAAACTCATTTTAGGCTTTATTTATAAATATGTTATTTATTTTAAAAAAAACATCAATAATCAAGAATATAAATAATAATAATAATAATGTCCTCCAGACCGAATTTCGGCCACGGCGGCCAGTCTCAACGGAGACTAGCCATCGGCGCAGGACAGGATTATAGTGCTCAAGTGTATGCGCAAGCACAGGTGCACTCTCTATTCCCTCACTCAAGAATATAAAATAGAAATTAACATCTTGAGGAAGGAAAATACTTAACCCTCTTTTTTTGATGATCTATAATCGAATAAAAAGTAGCCTATAAGTTGCCCCGGGTCCCTAACTATCTACACACAATTTCATGGAAATCTGTCGAGTAGTTTTTGCGTGAAACGATAATACACAGACAGACAGACAGTCAAAACTTCTAAAAACCACTAATTTGGCCTCAGTGCCCTTTATTTAGTCCCCGGGAATTGTTTTTTCCAGAAAATATTAGAATTACAGACACGACTTTTATACAAATTTATTATATGTATAGATGATAGTTAAAATTGAATTTGTTATCTATAACAAGACCGAGATATGTCTGGGTGTCCACAGTTTCTATGAGAGGGCAGTCACATGTCAGTCAGTAGTCAGGCCGTGCAAGCAGTTATGGTTTTGTGCAACTATGTTTTTGGCAGGATGGCGATAACAGTTATTTTTTTTGGTATTTAGTACTACAGTGGCACCATCTTAATAGAGAATCTACATCAGACTGCAGAAGTTCAGAGGCTTTTGTGCATCCTATACATTATTAAAATCAAAATCCTATACGTTGCTAAAAGGCATGTGTCATCTGCAAACTACAACTGCAGAGTAAATAAGGCAGTTATTCAAATTATTAACATAAGTTAAAAAGTGTAAGGGCCCCAAAACTGATCCTTGAGCGGTGCTTACCGTCACTTCTAAGGGTTCACTTAATGAATTTTCAATTTTTAATGTATATCCTATTTTTGAGGTAGCCTATCACAGCAGCGGGCCACGAACTCTACAGTGATCCAACTTATTTATTAGTTGCCGGTGTTCTAGAGTATCAAATTAATATATTAAATTGATTTTTTTATTAGTTTTGTTCTAAGAAGCTACAGTCTAAAATACTTTTTATTTAAAATGGTTGTGTATTCAAATTATTTTTAACTTTCATACTTTTAGGCTCAAGTAGTACCCCTGAAAGTGGATTCTGCTTTCAAACCTTTCTGACACCAGGACCTTCCAGATTACCAGTAAGATTCAGTTATCCTTTTATATAGGTGTTAATATTTATATAAGTTAGTGATTGTTTATATATAGGTGTCCTGTAACTCAATGTCGAGCGGATACTGGGCGATAGGCCAACGCATAACTGTTTACAAATAAGAAAAAATCCATGTCTCATAGTAGTGATAATAGACATATTTTTGAAAATGTTAAAAATCATCCCTGTAGATCACATCTTTAGATACTATGGTCAGAAAGTTTCGCAATTTAATAGTGATTTTTACAATATTGTAATCCTTATTAGCCCTCCTACTATAAAGTCACAATTCAAACAACAAAAGTCTTTAGTTTTGTGAAAATAATATTAGTTTGTTTGAGTTAAGGTAAAAGAATTATGTCTCCTAATTTTGACACACCGTTTTAAAGAAAGTAGTACTACAGTAACCTTGACAAGTAATTTTAAAAGACGGCCTGTTTAGTCAAGATTCCAAAATGGTTCAAAAGTGCCATTTTTTCTTTTCTTAAAAAATATTGCTTATGTCACTTACTATCTTCAAAAGTAAACGAAAAAAAAATTTTGAAAACGATTGCAAATGTACATTAAAAGAGACGAATTTATCCAGGATATAAGTTTTTAAAATTTTTAACTAATAAAAAGTTTATGAGTATATTCATTGTTGAACCTGTTGAGCCCCGTCATGGGGTGAATAGATAAACAAGCGTTTCCGAGTATCCACTATCCACCTTAGGGTGCATAAACGGAATAACCGGATTATTTGGTATAGCTGACATGCTTGGCATTTTATTCGACGCGAACACGAGTCTATTCGGTGTGCAAATGTTCTCGTCTTAAGCTTTGAAGTTATTCAGTTCAAATTTACCCACATGAAACTGAGTTAAATTATCTTTTTTTCATAATTTTCAGATTAGCACAACTTTAGTTACTAAATTAAAAGAAAAAGTGACGAAACAGAAGAATAAAATTAAAAGGCTGAATGAAAAGTGTAGAAGACAATCTAAGAAAATTGCCAATTTTTCTCAAATTTTGAAAGATCTTCAATCTAAACATATATTAAATACTGAAAATACTATTTTATTAGAAGATTGTGCAGGACCGAAGGACTTTTTAACAAGTCAAATAAAGAAATTAAAAGGTTTGCCATTACCTAATCAGTACTCTCAAGAAATTAGAAAATTTGCTCTCACATTACATTTTCTTTCGCCTAAAGCATACAACTTTGTACGACGGACCTACAATACCTGTTTGCCACACAATAGCTAAGTGGTATCAACATGTTGACGCAGAGCCCGGCTTTACCTTAGAAGCTTTTAAAACCTTAAAACTCAAAGCATCTGCAACTACTGGACCAATACTTTGTGCGCTAACTATAGATGAAATGAGCATAAGAAAATCGTTAACTTGGGATGCTACAAAAATGAAGTTTTATGGTCGTGTGGATACAGGAACTCTTTTGGACAGTGACTCTTTAGAAGAAGCTGGACAATCTTTAGTTCTAATGTTAACAGCTATAAACCAGTCCTGGAAACTTCCTGTTGGCTATTTTCTAATATCAAGCTTAAATGGTAATCAAAAAGCAAAACTTATAGAAACATGTATCCAGTTAACAGAAGAGACAGGGGTCATTATTGTATCTTTAACTTGTGATGGGCTAGCTACAAATTTTAGCATGCTAGAGTCGTTAGGATGCAAAGGAATAACAAAAAACCCAAAAGTAACATGGTTTCATTACAGCAATTCCACAATAGATGTCTTTCTGGATCCCTGCCATGCTATAAAATTAGTTAGAAATTCCTTTGGGGAATTAAAGGTCTTTAAAGATGTTCAAAAAAAGAAACATAGACTTTAGGTATGTAGAAAATCTTCACAATTTCCAGGAAAAAGAAAATTTATATTTGGGAACAAAAATAAGAAAAGGACACATAGAATTTTCTAAACAAAAAATGAAAGTTAAATTAGCCACCCAATTATTAAGCACTTCTGTTGCAGACGCCCTGAATTTTTGTGAATTCAATTTGAAATTAAAACATTTCCAAGGGAGCTCTTGTACAGCCAATTTTATTAGAATAATGAACGACTTATTTGATATTTTTAACAGTAGGTCCATTCGTCCTCCAGGTTGGAAAAAGGCAATTTGTTCGTCAAATATAGGACTAGTAACAGAATTCCTCTTGAGTGCCTTAGATTATATCAATGGGCTGCATCTTTTTTCAGGAGAACTTTTAGTAATGTACCGACGTAGAACTGGATTTATTGGGCTAATTATTAATATTCATAGCACACTAAATCTGTATAAAAGATTAGTACATGAAAAAATGTTTTTGCAATACTTGCCATTATATAAGATCAGCCAAGACCATTTGTAATTATTTTTCTCCGCTATTAGAAGCCGAGGAGGTTTTAACAACAATCCTAACGCATTGCAATTTAGGTCAGCATATAAAAGATTATTAATAAGAGCAGAAATTCGAGAGCATGGGGTAGGAAATTGTGTTGCGTTAAACCAAATTAACATACTAACTTGCTCCAGTAAAATAGATCCGATTGATAACATAAACAGCCTCACGGACCGAAATTTACTTGTAAATATTCCCGAAAATGAGAGTGATTTGTATGATCAGTATTTAGAATGTTTATCTTTAACAAATTTAAACGAATATACAGAAAATGTAATAGAATATATTGGAGGGTTTATTGTTAGAAAATTAAATAGGCGTCTAAAATGTGAACAGTGTCTAAATTTAATTCAAGGCTGTGTAAATAAGAAAGGAATTGTTTTCTGCAAGACCAGAGGCGGATTAGTTTTTCCTTCCGAAGGCGTTAAAAGTATTTTAAAAAGAGCAGAAAAAAATTTTAAAGTTACACCTTCATAAAAATGTTAAAAGTGAAAATTATTTTTTATATGTGTACTTATTTCTGATGGAACATTTTCAGGAAGAAAATGTTTTATCTCTTGATGTACAACATGACACTGAACATAGAGAGTTATTAGTTAAGAGTATAATCAAATATTATGTAAATATTCGATATAAATATTTTGGTAAATGTGCTACAGAAAAAGTTAGTCTCCGCAATCATCTTACTAAAACGATCTTGTTTAGAAATGAATAAAAGAAAATATTGTAAACACATTAATTATGAAAAATTCGATAAAGAACATACAATAGAGTTTGACAAAGGTGAGGTTATTAATAAGTATATTAAAAAAATAGATGCAACTTGTCCTTTACCGAAAAAAATCGTACAACTTTGTAAGTATACATCTGGTAAACATCGTTCAATCAAAATTTTCTTTGAATCCCAAGATATCGTTAAATACATATTGAAGAATAAGACAAAGCTGAATGATGATAACATAATATTATATTCAGACCAAACACCGCAACTAAAATTATACTTAAAGGAGCTTACTCAAGAGTTAAATAATAAAACACGAAAACTAGGAAATTGTAGTAAAATTACAGGAGAAGATAACAAAGTAAACACTTACCAACTACTTGACGACTACGAACACATTGTCTCATATAAGAAATCATTAAAAATATACTATGCTAACATACGCAGCATTGTCACACCAGGAAAGTTTCACGAGTTACAATGCATACTAAAAATGTTCAAAAATACTGCCATACAAAGATGTTTTATAGGTCAAAACATCTTTGCTGCCATCATTATTTTAACCGAAACTTGGATAAAATCCGAAGCAGAAGCAAAACGTTTTGTCATCCTTAACTACAGCCATTTTACATTTTTTTTGTTTTGGAGCAAACAAGATAAGTATTTTATAAAAATATTACGTTATTAAACTACTTTCTATTGCTAAAAAAAATTTATTTATTTTCCTACTCCATCCATCCATCCATTACATTCTAAAAGTTCATTGCTGCACCTAGGTCTCTACTATAGATTGGGATTACCTCATAGGGCATTTTGCCACAGCTACCACGCTTGGCAGGCGATTTAGCATCCGCAGATTTTTATTATTTTGTATCTACTTCACTTGGTCTTTCTTGATTTTGTTGCCAAAATCCAGAAATCACCCATGCTAAGCCGGGGTGGATATAAAATAAAAAATATTTCACGGCAAATAATTTATTTGTTATGATAATTTGTAACCACAAGTGCATCGTAAAGTATAATAATATTCAAATCACAGCGATTCTAAAGTAGGTAGTTTTTACTTCAAGAGATATTAGTTTAAACGGCCACACGAAACTGGTGCACAAGCAACTGGTGGGGGGGTGCTACTAGCTCTAAAAGAGAACTCCATCCTGTTTAACCATCCTGGCTTTAGATAGTAACTTATTAGCCCAGAAGTAAAGCTTATTCTGTATAATATGAAGTCAGAGCAACTAGCTTGTTAACTTACACCTTACAAGCACGAGTTGCTATCCGTGCTTTAAGTATCAAAATCGTCTTCAAACTATTATTTAAACGATAAAACTGGAGCAGCAATCATCTAAAGGTTAAATTCACACGAAATTCCCCTAGCCTCCCTAATCGTTAGAGAAAATATAATTTTGCATATTAAAAATAAATTAAATACATAAAGGTGTTACTAAATTTTAAAAGTTGATTGAGTTCACATCACTAAAAAATGGGCGGAGCTTACAGCGTCCGCCATTTATTGTCTCAATTTGACACGATTTTTTTGTAGGCTTGCCATCTCCTCTATTTTCTATGCTCAAAGCATATTACTGTCGCTTAGCTGTCAGATCTACATGTCACTGGGTGCGTTTGGCAGAAAAAAGCGCTAGCAAGCGCTTGTAAGCAAAATGGCGATCGTAAGCGGTAAGCGCTGTCAAATCGTAAGTAGCTATTTTCCTCCAGGACACGATGTTAGTTTTAACCGTGGAATCTAACCTAATTTAAATATATGTTTGTAAAATATTCATATTAAAAACTTACCAATCATGAGTTTTTAATAGCATGTATATGTCATTATATTACTTAAAACTAATATTGCACAAAACAACTTATAAACTCTACTTCAAAACAAACAAATTAAATAAGCAAAATGGCGGATTGTGTCAGCGCTACTGAAGTAGCAATCGTGTCCTGGCCGAAAACTATTTTAGCGCTTATAAACGCTTGCTAGCGCTTTTTTCTGCCAAACGCACCCATTTATTGTTGTTTAGAGGTTTTCTTGGATATTTCGTTGTTTCCGTGAACTAACAAAATAAACTTTTACTTAGATTTTAGTGCTATTTTACGAAAGGACGTTATAATTTATAAGCTAATTTACGAAAAGACGTTTATTGTGTACTAGGTTATATACGACAGGACGTTTCTTTAGCATAAGTGTATTTTAATTTTTAGTTTAAAATGTATTTTAAGTGTTGCATTCCCAATTGTGCAAGTAAAAGAGAAGAGACTAATTTACATAAGTTTCCGTCTGACGAAGACCAACGGAACAAGTGGCTGGACTAACTGTGACACTTAAAAGTATGCATTCCAGTAACCTTAACAAGATGCTGGTTTGTCACAAACATTTTGAAAAAAGGTTTCATACTGTAAAATCTGGCATTAAGAAGACAGCTTATCCCACACTTTTTTCTTTTGAGGAAATTGAGTCAGGTTTCTCATCAAGATCATGCAACAACAAAGGTGTGTACATTTAGTTATTCCTTAATAAACATAACTACAATATATAAAATTAAATGTAAACAAGGATGAACTTAAATTAGTAAGAAACTGTATTTGGTAGCATATGCTAAAGCATATCTTGAAATATATAGTTATTACTACCTAAATGTACTAGTAAATAGATTAAAATCATACTTGACTTCGCTCTGCACATACCTTCATACTACATACCTTTGAGCTATCAAGTGAAGGTTATCCACCTGTTTATTGAAGTAAAATTTACTAGTTTATAGATTTTATTAACAATAGCCATTAACTTAATAGATCCAGATTAATAGCTTCAAAAAGGAGGATCCCGACTCAATTTGATCATATATTTTTTTGTGTTAAGTGAATCGATTTTGATGATTCTCTTTTATTTACAAGGTGGTGCTTCTCGTGTGGTCCCATATAAATTTGATCAAATCTGACCAGTAGTTTTAATTAATAATGCATATTTATTTGACTTCAAATACATTAATCATGTTCTCATTTTATTTATATTGAAGTTGGTTATACAATTTTTTAAATTTTACCACTTGTTATGTACCTATATGACAAATTTTCTTTCTTTCAGGGAATGTACTTGTTGATCACACATACATACATAAGAGACACTATGACCACACATACTGCAAAATAAAACAACATTCACCTTTGCTAAAGCCTCAAGACCCCTTAATTGGTAACTATTCAATTAATTTAAAACTGTCTTTTCTCTTTGAAGTAATCAATTAGACTAGCTATTTCTCATAATATTAAAAAATTGATAGGTGGCAATTATTGTAATTTTATATCAGTTGTAATAAACTGATATAAAATTATGAGATTTTCATTAATATTTCTTCAATTATAAGTTTACATTTAATAAGTTGAGCCATTTGGATATGATAGTTGAAAAATGTAATGTAGGTTAATTAAGCAATAAAATAATGAAATAATTTTAAAAATCTTCTTACTATATTTAATATTTATTTTAATGTTTTCAGATTTGACTAATATACCATCAACATCCTTTGCTCCATCGTCACATTTGGACAATCTGGAAAATGTACCTGGTAATTTTTTCATAGTGTTCATAAGAAGATTTGTATTGATGACCACTTAAATTTGCACTCAAATGTGTTTATCATTTGAAATTTCGTGCACAAAATATCGGTTAACATTTTAATAAATAAACCATTATTCTTATATATTAATATTCACAATTATTCTGTTCCATTCTTAGTTTTTTGTTTAAAGCATAATCTACAAGTTTTATTAAGCAAAATTATTATGTTAATAATGATGTGTTTTCTTGTTTAGGTGAGTTGACTTCAAGAACACCTAAAAAAGTGGTCAAGAAGAGGCTTGTACAAAAATTTTCTAAACTTTCTCCTCAATGCAAGCTACTATACAATGAATTTAAAAAGTCCAGAAGGCAGTTAAATTATAATGTGCGGGTCAGGAGAGCGCTAGCTTTTTCAGAAGACCAAAGTTTTGAAAAAATTACTGGAAAAATGAATCCACTTGCAAGGAAATTTTTCTACATGCAAATAAAGATGTGCACATAAAGCAAAAAAGGCAGAAGGTTTTCATTAGAAGAAAAGTTGATTGCTTTATCTATTATGAAGCAAAGTCCCAAAGCTTATAGGTTTCTTCAGAAAATTTTTATCCTACCTTCTAACACAACCTTAAAGAAAATGATTGTAGGATTAGATGTAAAAGCAGGAATAAACACCCAAATATTTACAGTCATGAAGGAGGAGGTATGTGTTATTGTAATTATTATGTAAACCTTTTTGTTATGACTTATCAAGAAATATGATAAAACTAAAATGTTAAATATATAATTAATTTAAAAAAAATCCTTTTGACTTACCTTTACTTGACTTAACTTAACTTAATGTTAATAATAAAAACCTGTGGTTGCCAACCTGTCTGCTACATGTGACATATTTAGCATTAGATTTATAATAGGCATGGCAGGAACATGAATGAATGATATTAATAATAAATTCTTGTTATAATAATTTATTAAAATTTTAGGTTAATAGCTGGGATGAAAGAAAAAAACTGTGTACCATAATGTTTGATGAAATGGCTCTTGAACCTTCCCTTACATATTCATCAAAAAATGATAGTGTGCATGGATTTGTAGAGCTTGATTTGAAATCAAATAATTTGGCTGATCATGCACTAGTGTTTCTAGTGAGAGGTGCAGTCTACAAATGGCAACAACCTATTGCTTTTTATTTTACTGAAGGAGCAGTTTCCTCCCCTCAACTACAAATAATATTGCAAAATGTGGTAACAGCAGTTTTAGAAACAGGTTTACTTCCCATTGCCCTTGTATGTGATCAAGGGACATCTTTTCAATCTGCTTTAAAAAGCATGCAGGATAAAACAAAAGGGGATCAAATACGCGCAGGTTTAGAAACAGGTAAGCATTACAATAATTTCTTTCACTATAAAATGTTTCAACAACAATAGGAAATTACTTCAATAGATTTTAGCTCGATGCTATTGTCAAATGATATCAAAATTGTTTAAAGGATCAAAAAATAAGCTGTGAGTTGATATAACTCAGCAGATATTTTTACTAAATACACTCAGGGATACAAAAGACACTTGATTTAAGGGCAGATAAGTTTGTGATATCAAAACAGTTATAACTTTCAATAAATAAGTAAATAACAAATTCTATTATTTTAAATATTAATTATTTATTATATTGTCAGTATTATTTTATGCATAATCAATCACACACCTAAAATCTTAATAGTGACAAAATCGAGGTCAAGTCTGAATGTGAATGATAAACAATCCTTTATGTTTTTATTTCAGATGATACAGTTAAAATAAAAGGTGCATCACTTAGTGTGATATTTGATCCACCACACCTTATAAAAGGTATAAGAAATAATTTCCTGTCGAAACATATAACAACTGATGGCAAGGTATCAAAATGGCAAGATATTGTTGATGTATACCTAACGAACTGCAAGCATAGTCAATCTCGGTTGTTACACAAACTGAATGATGAGCATGTGATTCCCAACAAAGTAAAAAAATAAAGGTAATAATCTAATAATTATGTAAAATTTATCATAAAACAATCACCATTCTCAAACCTTAACTAAGAATATATTTTTATTTGAATTAGGAATATTTTTATATTTTTGAACAACTCTGGTTTGATCTCCGCCTACACCACTGAAATGAATGAATGAATGTTAATAGGTTGTATTACATTTAACTTATTTTTATATTTTTTACTTTACAGGTGAAGAATTGTGTCCGGGTTTTTAGTAAAACTATGGCAGCAGCTTTATCATATACTGCTGAATTCTGTAAGTTTTATTTTAAATATTGTTTTAATATACGATAAAGTTTTACAACTACTTCTATCCTCCCAACCTTTAGTTTCAAAACATTGCTAAAGCATATTATTTAATTATCTTGGATATGAATGATAATTATGTCCAAAAATTATTGAAAATTTCTGTATAATTGTGAGTTTCTTAGATTTATGTGAAATACGGCTCGACAAAGGGAAGGACCACAACTGTCACAGAATACCAGCCTAATGCTGCTGTTTTTCGTATGGTAAGAGTAGAGAACCGGAGACTGTTTTTGCTGGAAACAAGGCATTTCATCTTAGTCTTCATGGGTGACAACGCATCTGCATTTTGATTCGTATTTCAGGATAGATGTAGATGTCTATGGGCCACAACAACCACTTAACATCAGGTGGACTGTGTGCTCGTTTGTCACCCTATCCTATAAAAAAAGTAACTGTCTAATTACTATGGCCTCTAGCTAAAGAAAAAACTAATAAAACTTGTCTTGACATTGTCTATAGGATTGTCACTGTCCTGGAAATAAGAGAGCTTGCATTGAAATATGATTAGCACCCATATTAAAACTTAACTACTTTTATTTTATGATTTATTTAAATATTCTTTCTTTCAGCTCACTACACTGATGGCAGACCAGTTAGCAATACTTTAAAAAACACTTCGGAGTCTGTATCATTTTTGGATGATTTATTCGTTAGTGTAAATGGCTCTTCTCTTGATCACAAGAAATGTGGTAGAAAACTTTTAAGGAAGGCTGTTACTGAAAACTCATTGCATTACAACTTTTGGAAGGATGCAAAGAAAAAAATTGAAAAAATTAAATTTATTGACAAGGTCAATGAAAAGTCCGTGCCTACACTAAAAAATTGGCTGACAAAAATTAAAAGTTACGAAATCATGCGACCTCTGTATTTCAATTCAGATCCCATTGAAAACTTTTTTGGGCGAGTGAGGTCGTATAATTTTCGTAATAATGATCAAACTTGCCACATTTTCATCAGTACTTTCAAATCTTTATTGATAACAGGCCTCATTAAATTTCATTCAGAAAACTTATAATTGCGAAGATGACACTTGCTATCAGTTGATAAATGTGCAGTCTTTATTTGGAAAGCGATCTGAAGAGATAAACTACAATACATCCAATATCAAACAGGATATTGGATGTATTGAAGAGAATCTTTCTACTGAAAATATTCAAGTGCAGGCAGCAAGGGAGCGATTAAATGTTCACTCAACAGCATATACCGCTGGATGGGTTATAAAAAATACTTAGCAAAATAAATTGCCAAAAATGTGAGGCCAGTTTATGTACTAAAGTAGGTGGTAAAGTACATAAATGGATCTCACAAAGAGAATATAAAACAATCAAGCAAAGAAAGCTGACCTATCCCTCGGAATATGCTGTGAGGCATTTTAATTCAATAATAAAAGAAACAAATAGATACTTGGAATATTGTGCACACAAAGAAAATGTAAGCCAAGAAATCAAAAAACATATAAAAACCAAGTATCTATTTGAATTCATTAAATGTAAAAGCCATAAAGACATTGTACTTAAATACTTGCTTTCTATTAAACTAATCATTTTCAACTGGTGCAACATAATTAATAAGATTCTGAAAGGCACGGACATAATTAGAATTGAAAAGCGTACATTGCCACCAATGCAAAAAAAGCGTTGAACAAGTACAAAAAAAAGTTAAAAAATAAATCATAAATAATACACACTGCATTTTATTTCTACTAATTCTCCTTCTTCATAATAAAATAATAATAAAAAATTAGTAATTAAATGGCAAGAGTACTAAATTATGCTTGGTTGAAATAAAATGATACCTTTGCCTACAGCCGATTTATATTTAAAAAAAAACAAATGTCATGTTCTAATTTGCTATAAGGTCCAAACTAAATGTACCATAGACGTCCGTCTGACGGGTGTATCTAGTTAGTTTGTGCGTTTAACCCTTAATGCATTTTGTCCGTTTTTTGGTACAACTAAATTATCAAAATTAAAAAGGTTCCTAAACGTAAACTGGCACTGTTTTTGAACGAAGCGTGAAGAGAGCGATATATCCATCCTCCTCGCACAGACACTACGCGTCGCGCGCATCACAACAGTAACTGTCGTTCGATTTGAAATCTGTCAAGTCGATGTTCGGCAGCTATTCGTAAAACAGTGCAGAAATTTGGTATAAAAATGGTTAAACCACTGCGACCTGCGGTTATTTCGAAAGGAGGTGAGTTTATTGTTTATTTCTGATCAATCTATAATTACTTTACATGAGAATTTATAAGATTGTTATGCTAAATTATAGGTGTCACTTTTTACGGACATTGCCGCTTTATCAACACTAGGTGTTTAATTTTAGGTGTCCCAAATAACGGACTTTGCTAATGTTACTAACAATAATAATCTAAACGAGCACGTATGCATTTTTTTTAATGTCTAATGCTTCATGGTGATTGGTTTTAAATGCTAAATATGCTTGTTATAGGGAATTCCACTAATAATATCAAAGCATGGCGTGCGCAAAGAATTTTGGCTATGATTCCACCGTCAGAATCGGAACCATCCGACGTTGAAAATGATGAGAATAATGAAGAAGGAGTATTTTCACGTATAGTGTTAGACGATTCATCTTCCTGTCGAACTCTGTCCTCTTCCTCCCGGACCGCCAACTGGTGTAAACGTGCGCATAATCCATATATATATA